ATCCTCATAGTATATAAACTCGTGTATATGTCCTGTAGTACCTCAGTTCGAATATCATCTTAGTTTGTCCTCTTTCTGTCCTCCGGACTTGAGTTCTCCTTACTCTTGTCACTCTCCGAGACTTCGGATAGATTCCGATAGTCTATATCCTCGGCTCTACCTTCGGGTAGTCTTTACTCTGTTAGTTTCTAGTTCGGATACGTCCGGATTAGCCTTATACGCGTTTCCGATACCCGGAAGACTTCCGGATATACTACGAGACCCGTCCGGACCTTCGGACGCGTTATCGTTAGTACTTTGAAAATAAGGGACAGTACTTGGGAAAGGGGCACAGCGTACGAGCTGAGGCCGAAGTCCTTCGGATCCGATCTTACGAGAGTACGACCTTAACAGAAAGCAGCCAAACATCCCATGCTCAAGCCACATGACTGGTCAATGAAGTCCTATTAGCTGAGGATTTCCGAATTGAGGACGTAAAGGGCTTCAATGCCCATACTGAAATGAAGCGTTGGGATTCTTCAGAAGTGCAACTGGACGACAATGATATATACCGAAGGGATGGGTGGAAAGAAATGGCTGCAGAGATTCTAGTACCGACCCGGGAGAAGAATCCAGATGGAAATGGGCAGCCCTTTACGATCCCTGGATTCCGGTACCGGCCCCTCACAGCTGTCATTCATGCCGCTTTCTCAGAGGCAACATCCAAATGGTTTCATTTCACTCCCTTCAAGCGCTTTTGGAAGTCTCCCGTGACTGGTCAAGAGCAACGTCTTCATGATGAGCTCTATACATCAGACGCATGGATTAAGGCTCACGACGACCTGCAGAAGCAAAGACGAGACAATGGCTGCAAGCTTGAGAAAGTCATTGCTGGACTCATGTTTTGGTCGGATTCTATGCATTTGGTGCAGTTTGGGAATGCATCAGCATGGCCACTTTACTTATACTTCGGAAACCAGTCCAAATACACCTGTTCCTGCCCCACTTCTGGTGCATGCCACCGTGTGGCCTTCATTCCCGCGGTAAGTGTACCTATACATACTAGTATCATTGTGCTAATGGTCATCAACTTGTCCTTGGCAGCTTCCAGAATCCATCAAACAATTTATTGCGAGGATTACCTCAGTTAAAAGGAAGAGCTACCACGACATTCTTGCCCACTGCAAGCGCGAGATGTTTCATGCTATCTGGCGTATTTTAATAGATGACGACTTTCTTGATGCGTACAGAAATGGCATAATAATCAAATGTCATGATGGGGTATACCGCCGAGTATTTCCTAGGATATTTACTTACTCTGCAGATTACCCTGAAAAGTGCGTAGAATGTGTGCTTCTCACCCTGTTTCTGCTAATAAGACCTTGAAGAGTTCTCATCACAGCAATTCGCGACAAGGGTGTGTGTCCCTGTCCTCGGTGTCTGCTTCCAAAATCATTATTTGGTCGCATTGGACTTCGCTCTGATATGTTGGGAAGAGTTGCAAGAGTGCATAGATTTATTAAAGGTGCTGTTGTCGCTGCACGCAATGCCATCTACAATTTAGGTACCCCAATCAAGGGTGCTGCTGTCGAACGTCTTCTAAAAGAGTCCTCGCTTGTGCCCACCATTGTAAGCATATCTTGTCTTTATCTCACTCGGTCTTCGTTTCACCTCACCTACAGAACACCTTTGCTGAGCAATTGGGCCCTTTCGGCTTTGACTGCTTTTCAATGCTTGTTGTCGACCTTTTACATGAGTTCGAGCTGGGCGTATTCAAATCTGTATTCAAACATCTTATCAGGCTACTTTACGCTATAAATCCTGAATGGATAGGTGTCCTGAATGAACGGTAAGACATTTGACTGTCATGAGGGCTGCAGGTTCTGTTTCTAATGTGGATACTGCATCCCATAGCTTTCGCTTGATCCCTTCCTTTGGCAAGGGCGCTATTTGGCGCTTTCCAACCAACGTATCTGAAGTCCGGCAAAATGTTGCAAGGCACTTTGAAGACGTTTTACAAGTTAGCTGGGCAGTCTTCACCGATTCCAACACTGACCTGCTTCCTCTTTCAAAACAGTGCACAATCCCTGCCTTTGAAGGGTTGTTCCCTAGAGAGCATGACAATGTTATTCGGCTCCTTCTTTTTCGACTCGCAGAATGGCACGCCCTAGCTAAACTCCGACTTCACACTGATGACTCATTAAGCAAACTCGACGAAGCGCTGAATGCCTTGGGCAAGCAACTCCGGAAGTTTCAGCAGTTCACATGTTCAGCTTTTCAAACCATGGAACTTCTGCATGAAGTAGCTGCACATCAGAGGAGGCAGAATGCTAATTGTCAGTCTACCAATCAAGAGGCAAGGGGGTCTGGCGCTCATTTCAAAGCCTTCAATCTTCTAACCTACAAATTGCACGTGCTTGGTGATTATGCTGCTTCAATCAGGTTGTTTGGTACAACAGATTCATATACCACCCAGATTGTACGTGTTTCATGCTCAGCTATATTGACCATATTGACACTCTGCGTTTCGCAGGGCGAACAGGCCCATCGTTTTATCAAATTTCTGTATCAAACTACAAACAAACAAGATGCTTCAAAGCAGCTGGCCAAGCAGGAACGAAGGCGCACTCGCGTCCGACGGCAACAGTCATCCGAGTCAACAATCCTCGCTCACAACATATGCACCAGTGACCTACCACCTGAAGCCCATCATTTTTTGTCTCACAATATCCACAACGTCATGAATTTGGCCTCATACCTCAGTGAACACAGGGACGATCCAGCGATTGAAGTAAGGCAGAACAGCTGACTGACATTTTTTATTGCTGACAATACCCAAAGAACTTTATTCCGAAACTGAAAAATCATCTTCTCTCACGACTACTCAACTTGGACTATGATGGCGATGAGCGAAATTTCAGTGACACCGAACGCAACAGCATACTGTTCATTTGCAACCTTAATCGAGTCCGCCAAGCTAAGTGATTGCAAATCAATTACACAACATACGACATTCGCCGCGACCAAGACACTCTGAAACCAGGGCATGGCCAGTCCGTAATGACACTGTCAAGGGAACAAGGCGTTGGCGCTCATCCGTTTTGGTATGCACAAGTTTTGGGTGCTTTCGTCATTCAGATACTCCATGTTGGTGCGGATGCTCGTAATCGCTCTCCTCAATTGATGGAATTCTTGTGGGTCCGGTGGCTCGGTGTAGTTCCACGCTACCGCTGGGGCTTCAAGGAAGGCCGGCTCCCAAAAGTCGGATTTATACCAGATTCCCCTGCTGCATTTGGTTTCCTCGACCCCTCTCTTGTCCTCCGAGCTTGCCATCTTATACCGGCCTTTGCTAATGGTCGTACGGATGATCTCCTGAGGCATGGCCCCACAGTTGCACGGCCATTTGGAGAAGTAGATGACTGGACCACATTCTATGTTAACATGTGAGTCAGTAGATATGGTTGAAGACTCCTGATGATTGATTGCGCAACAGTTTTGCTGATCGGGATATGTTTGCACGCTTTGCACGCATTGGCGTCGGTCATCAAATTCAGTATAGTTTGCCAAATGCGACTGAGGATGAAAATTTCATAGGAGACGATGACGATGAACGTCTAGCTGAGGGCGATCTGGAACCAACTACAAGCAATGCTGGTGGGCAGATACTCGACTCTAATGTTGGCAATTGCCTGAATCAAGTTCTAGGCGATGAAACTGATAATGATAATGAAGAGGACGTTGAATCTGATGATGAAGAAGATATTGAATCCGATGCTCTGGATGATGAAGGCTGTAGCTCAGAGGATTACGGGGAATCTGAAGATGAGGGATCAGACTTTAAATTTTAGGGTCGACTTACTACTGTGTCTGTATGTGGCGCAACTTAAGTTGATTGTATTACCATGACATCCGTTCCTTGGTGGAGCATGGCCAAACAGCTCTAATCCTAGCCTTACATTTGAACTTTGAGATCACTCCTCTTGTTCGATCAGGTTAATGTTGTTACTAACCGGTACTGCAGCCCTGGGGATCCCTCGGCCCTCCGAGTCCGAGTCCTGCCAGTGAGAAATCAGCGCCGTGTGACCGTGCGTTACTACATTGTGACTTCTGTTTATTACTGCGACTTCGACTTATCTCAGGCTTGGTATATCAAGATTTTCACTTGTATTGTTGGGTGCCACCACTAACTGGTGAGCCTAGTAGTTCGACTTTATTGCCTCACCCATTGACATGACCACAGAACAATTTTCAAGTGATTGTTATCATAGTGCGCCGCATCGCAAATCCATTTTCGTTCATCAGAAGTCATCACCAACTCTGACAGAGGAACCTCAGGGATCGCCATTATGGCCAGGTCTGTTTTGGTGAGTACTTCAGTTAGTTGCAATAAACTGTCCTAAGGTGTCAGTGGAGGAATCTCAGCGCAAGACTGCCCTTGGATGAACATGAATGAGGTCACCACCGTCAGCCACCCAAAATTGGCCAATCACCTCTATGTCATCATAATCTCTGTGAGGCACACATTGACAAGCTACTTGGGTGAAGGAGGTAGGCTGCCATAGGCACCCATTCATTTTTCAAACATCACCCGACCCGTTCATTATGGTGAGTTTGCGTCTCACATAATTTAGTAATTGCTTTCAAAGATATGTCATACAGGTCTGCTCTAAACGCCTTGTCGAAAATTTTTAAATCATTCCGCTGTATGTGGCACCTGCAGGATTGAGCTTCGACTTTGAGTGAGAAGTTGAACATGTTGTAGATTTTGGCTGATGAGTATCCAAGCTCTCCGCAAAAGAGGTTAAAACCCTTCTTTTTGGACCCGCAGAGACAAAAATCGGATTATATTCAAAGTTCCATGACCTCACCATGTGTGAGCGTGGCTTTGCAAGTGCTGCTACCATTCGATTGGCATACATTCAGTCTATTGCTTTGGTATTCGCCTATGTTATGTGGTGCAGATTCACTACCTGCCTCGATGCGAGCAAGATGGGGTTGTGAGCTCGAGATGGGACATTAGCATGTCTCAATGTTTGTCGCTTGATTTGAGTGTGTGGCACTGTTCTCTGATCGCTTGTTTTTCAGGCTGCCACTGCTTCAAGGAGGCCAAGAGTGAAATTACTGCTGACGGTGCTTCTGTAAATGCTGAGAAAGCATGCCCAGGAACCGAGGGCTCTGCGAGCTCAGCTGACTACCCCAGCACAAGAAGGTATCTGTCATTGGCACAGCTAACAAGCAAAGGATCTAGCCGCAGATAATTCTTTGGCCCGTGAAGCAGCCGAAGCTGCAGCAGAAACCACCGCACCCTGTTACTCTCCATTGCATTCCAGGACATCGCATGAAGAACACCCAGTCGATACTTGCGCAGATACTTACACAATACTATTACTACTGGTACCACCTAATCCTCACTGAACCTCCCTTCAGAACAACCTTGCCGAACTCTGGGCCCTCCTCGACTTTGTCCTACCCAAGATATTCAACTCCATGAAGTCATTTGACGAGTCGTACAACACGCCATTCGCGAACTCGGGTACATGGGACAAGATCGAGTTGAACGAAGAGGAGGCTCTGCTCGTCATACGGCGGTTGCATGAGATGGAGAAGGTGATGAAAGTCGGCATGAGTGCGCACAGAGTCAGCTGTATAGGCAGATGAAGAAGCACAAATGATCGCCAATGAGAAGGATGTGAAGGGGTACATTGTTTTTGCTTTTGGTGGAGCGGGGAGGACATGGTGCTGATTTTTTTTGTTTTCTAGCGTGCGAAGGGTTTGAGCAATGATGCATTGGTTGGGTCGGCTGGCAAACTCGAGTCGCATATCCTTCCCAAGTTCTTTGCAATCCTTCCAATGTTTGTTGGTCAATCTCACGCATGGCTCAGCGCCTAGGCAAAAACCCAGAAGACTACCCCGATGCTAAATTTCAGCCTCATGTGCAAGTCGCTTTGAGATTAAAAGCAAAGGGTGGAAGCGCCCGTAACGGCGACGTTATACCCTATGTGTTCTGCGTCGCTCCTGGTGAAGAGACCGTGAAGACTGCACAAGCAGATCGCGCCAAGCATCCAGACGAAATCAAGAGGGCTGCAGGGGAACTTACCGTGGATTACGAGCACTACCTTGCTAACCAGGTCCTACCACCTATTGAGCGACTGTGTGAGCCTATTGAAGGGACAGATAGGGCACGGCTTGCTGAGTGCCTTGGTGAGCGTTGAAACACCGATGCCTGCAAACTAAACTCAACTCAACGTTTCTAAAAGGACTGGACCCGGGGCGTTATCGTATTAGTGGAAGCACGCCGGCCGGATCAACGCTCACAACATTAGATTCCCTCGTCTCTGATGCAGAGCGATTCCGCGACGTGGCCCCATTCCTTGTACGCTGCCGCGGGTGCGCAGGACAGATGGCGTTTCCTCCGATCTACGATAGAGATGTATGTGATCGCATCCCAATTTGTACTTAGGGCTGTCTGACATCGAACAGGCGTCGATTCTGTTGTCATCAGGGCCAACCTGCCCCGCGTGCAGTGCACGTAAGTGCGCCAATCCTTCATAGTATACATTGCTACAACGCTGACGGCTAGTATTTGGGGGTCAGAATCACTGAGACGGCACTATAAAATGATCGCCGGTAGTTCTCATCGAGTATGAGGCATCTACTCACCTTAATTCCGTCTCAATCCTGGCCAGAACCACCCCTTCACTCTTTTCCAGAACCCCAGCGAAGCGTCCGTCCCTTCCGCATTCGCCTCTGCATCTCGCTCTGCCCGAATCGCTGCATCTGCCCTAATCATTACATCCGTCCAGTGGCGCCTCCTCACTTGTCCGCAATAAACCGTTTTCGAGGCCATGGATCTTAAACGACGTCCTGTTAATCAATTATGCACACAATGAGTAACTGTAGCACTTACTATACTTTTTTTCCTTGGAGAATATGAACTTACTTCGATTGCAAGGTTCTGTGGTTTTTCGTAGCGCGCTTCTTTTCGACTACAACACGCCAAACAAATCAAGGTAAATAAGTTGCAAGTAACGCCAGAATTTACTGACTACCCTGCCGGCAGTGGGTCATCGTTACTGAACGCAGTTGGCCAATTCGTTTCGTGGTTGGAGTCGTACGACAGGATCTGTACGCCCAATAGGTACATAGGCTCGGAGACGGGTGCCTGCAGCAGGCGCTAAGGAGGTAGTCAGACTCGATGGCGCTCTGCTGGACGTTTTTGACATGGGCTTCGCTTTCCTTGTCAGTTCGCTAAAGCTAGTGTAGACGTTGTATTCCATTGTGACTCCTAGATGAATCGTTCCTTTCGTACTGGCAGATCCATACGGGACGCACTTGAATGGCATCGCACGCGTGACTTGAAGCTTGAAAGTCCCAATGGGCTTATGGTACTTAGATATGCTTATTGTTTGATTTTTATCGATCTAGTCAAAGGCAGGTAAGCTATAACATTCATAGTGCGTGATCTCAGTGTACCCAAAGTCACTGTCTGACGACGGTCATGCTGGATTGCTGTATAAAATGTTACTTTATCGCGCAATTCTGATGAAAAACTGTAGACGTCAGAACATTAGCTTGAAACCCAATATGGGTTCCTATTGGTATATTGAAAGAAAGCGGAAATAAAGAAGAGACTATGGATCAGTAATATGACTTGTGGTTGGTACGGTGGAGTGTAGAATTACGAACACTAGCTAGAGAGCTGATAATGGCTTATATGGGGTTCACCAAAGGGCAAGCAAAAGACAAAAGAGATCACAGATCAGGCATCTAATACGTGTTTCACAAGCCACCGCATAGCCATATATTGGCAAAACATATTTGCTTGACCTTATAAGGTAAATATGGCCATATCATGCTTTGTGGTTTTTTGTGATGAAATCTATTCTGCCTTGCCTGTGACTTCGCGAAGTGCTTCGAAGTGTACTTCGAATCACTTCGTTGACAACGAAATCTACTGAAGTGTGTCAAATTTCCACTTCAGTTCGCCTCGCGGCAACACTAGTCGACATAAGTACCCGTGACGTCGAATTCACAAATCATCTGGGATTCCATTTTCACCCCTCTTGACACGCCCCCCACAGAATGCAAGGTAAATATAATACTAATACAGTTCTGGAGCTCTGGTATCTCCGAGCTGATCATCTACTGGGTGAAGGAAGCTTTGTACGCCCATGCTGTCCTCCGTGATTCTATGCCTAACATTTTCTCAGGGACGGGTGTACAAGGCCACTCGAGTAGTTACCGGTCAGATCATGGCCGTCAAGAAATCCCGAGCATCTCTCGCACTCAAAACCACCCTCTTAAATCATGAGCGACGGGTTCTGCAGCGTCTGCAGGGGCACCCTTCCATCCCAAGAGTCATCGCCTATGGACGATTGGTGCATTTCGAGTATCTTGCTATGCAGCTCCTCGGGATGAACCTTAGTGAAGTGCGAGGACGCTGTCCTCTACCAGCAGTAAACACCTTAGCAGTTGCTGATCAGATGGTATGTAGCATGAGCCATCTCTAGTCCATTAGTAGGCTCATACTGACCTTGCGCTAGATCTCGGCTCTCGAACACATACACGCGAACAAACTTGTCCACTGCGACATCAAACCTGGGAACATCATCCTCCACCCCACCGATTCCAAGCGCCTGTATCTGGTCGACTATGGGCTCACCCGGGCTATTGCACATGAGGTCCAACCCAACCTCTCTACAGATGCACCCCTGACATCACATGTCATTGGTACTCTGGAGTACGTCAGCTTGAACATCCATCGTCACATTCGTAAGTTGGCCCAGTATCATATGCTTCCCTCTTACACGACAAGACTGTAGGATCAGCTCCGCGTGACGATATAGAATCTCTTGGCTATACGCTCCTCAGTCTTGCTCGGGGCGACCTTCCATGGACATACAACACTCAACATGGAACAAGAAAGAATCAGGAAGTTCAAGTTCGGATCAAAAAGCAGCAATTTAGCGGTGCTGACATGGCCCCCGACGGACTTCCTTGCTTTGGTCAAATGATTGACTACGCACGCAGCTTGAAGTTTAATCAGCTACCGGACTACGAGCTGCTGCGTTTGCAAATACAAGAAACCCGTGCACTAGCTGGCTTGCTGGATCCTGCTAAAATCAACTGGAATATTCCGGCTGAGGTTTTGTCAGGTCTGCTGATTTTCCCTGGACATATTTTTTCGACTGAGCGCTCCTCTATAGACTCTCCGTCGTGTCCCCTTACATGTGTGGATACCATTTCCCTCTGCCCTGGACAGATTGTATGCTGCCAAATCGATGTTCGCACAACACTTGAGGGCTACAGCGCTCGAGCGGGTGATCCATTGTTCTGGCGGGATCCCAGTCTCTCCCCTGAAAAATGGGACACAGCGGTCCGCCCTGCGGTTGTTCTCCGGGTTGGAATAGACGAACGAAGCAAACTCCAGAGTATTGTAGTCATCTGTATCGGACAAGGAGTCCTCTCTTCCACTGACATGAATGTTGTTCCCATTTCCTCCTCGCCTACTGAGGGCAGTTTGACACCGAGTCCTGCTTGGCCGCTCTCTGACTCCTACTGCTACATATTTCCTTGGTTGATGCGATTTGTGTGCTACCCGGGCGAGGAACTCCATATTCTTCTCGTACTTAAACCAGCAAAGCTGATTTGATCTATCTACTAGGTCCAACCTGTTCCTTCTCCCTGGACGATTAGCAAAACCGACGTCGATCTCCTCCTCCAGAAGTTTGATAATCACACCTTCGCAGACACGTTACCGTTGCGGGACCGATTCATTACTTTCCAATATCCCTTTGTCAAGATCACTGCATTTGGCCCGGATTTTTCTCGTGGCAATGGGGAAGGCATGCCCATCGAATGGGGAGGATACAGAGCATGGTACGATGAGTGGCAAACTGTCAAGGAGCGTCGCGAGAAACTTGACCAGGGCTCAAGCGATTATAAACGCGCTCTGCCCGAAAGTTATTTTGCCTCGGACTTTGAGCAATGGGGGGGTTATCAGATGGAACTGAGCTCATCTGTGACGGCGGGTGTGGATGACAACGGTGACACTGGGTTGCCTGTGCTGCCCGTGATCGCTGAAGTCGAGATGTCTCGCGATGTGCGTTTTACTATGTAGAGCTTCGTGATGCCATACTGTACAATTTGCATGCCAACCTCATCAGGGAAAGCCTTCCCCCCGAAATCGAGGTAATTTCCAGTAAATCCCTGGTTTTCCTTTGATTTTCAGCGAAATCATGTTTTACTGTTTTATTTAAGTCCGGTCATAGTTTCAACGAATTAGTTCGAATTCCAAGTGATTTCTTCTGAATACTAATGAATTAGTTCGAATTCACTCGTCGGTCATTGTCAAAATACACGAAAATCAACATTATATTGGATCAGAATGGCCTGTCAGTATGTACGAACGACTATCAAAATGTACAAAGTGAGATCAGTAATACATGGGTATCCGCGGGTGCACATGGCACAACAACCTTAGTTCAATCCTCGGACATTGCACTGAGATCGAGGTAGTCGAAGTTGCTCAGCGCACCAGATGGCAGCAACACATTGTCCGACACACTAACATAGTATGTTAATGGCAGGCATTCGATCAGAGGATGATGAAACACACCAGACAGCCTTGTAAAGCCATGCCATCAGCGCATGATACTTCTTTTTACCGCCTTCAAAGATCCGAGTGAGGGTTGCTTCATGGGCTTTGTAAACGCTAATGTAGACAGTAGCATTGAATGATTTGACTTGAGAGCTCGACGGTGGATTGCCGCTCCTCCAGTCCATCAGTATGGCATAGATCTGCAACAACCGTCACATTTAGTAAGTATTCATCTAGAAAATACAAATAAAAAACGTACAACAGTTGCAATCAAGGCAACCATAGCTATGGGGAGCTCCGGCTCATCATTGCCATCTAAGACCGACACAAAATCTTCATGTGATTGAACTCTGATCGAGTTCTCGCTGTCGAACAATGACTGATGTAGCATATCGATCATGGCCTCGTCGCCAAAAGGTTGATCACCAAGGACTTTACCCTGGGCAGTGACATCAATATCGACAATGAAACATGACACTAATTGACATCTGACTTATTGGATTCAGAGTCGTTGATACCATATTCACTTGCAGAGTTGTCGGTGTCAACTGACACACCATTGTGACTCGTGAGAGTGGAAGCTACACCTATTTTAAGTTGAGTATCACTTCGACTCGGTTTTAAAGAGGCCACACATACTGCTTCTCTCACGACCACCACCTTCAACTGCTTTCTGTGTCTTTTCGACTGCTTTCAGTGTCTTCCTTACTGACTTTGTTGCAGGCGCAGACAGAAGCTCAGTCACCGTTGGTGCACGCTTGCGATTATTGCTGGTTGTATCATTCCAGACTGACATAGGTATGTAGCATAATTTTTTTTGCACAATATGGGTTTAGGCGCTCACCTTTGCGCTCCAGTGCTTTTTTCTTTGAAGACCGTTGCAGCTCTTTGCGAGAATGTGAGTTTTTTTGGGTCTGATTATGACAGCCTCTGTACTCACTGCTATCTGCGATGTCATCAGCTATGTCTGGGGTTACGACCTCAGCGCCGAAAGACACTTGTCTCGCCGCTACTTTCTCTTTCTTTTTAGCATTCCGCTTCTGAGCAGCTATCTCAGATGGACGGGGAGGCATTTTAAAAGGTGAATGAGTGTTTTCTCTTTTCAAAGAGTGTACTGCTATGAAATTGAATGATACAGGACGCTGAGGGTAAAAAGAATGTAGCGGTCAAGTTGGTGGGCAGTGTTAAAGAAAAAAGTTCATAGTCCGCTGAACTTTGCATGGGCAGGGTTGCAGGGTTGCGCTGGGGCAGGGTTGACAAAGTTCGTAGTCCGCTGAACTTTGCTTGAAGCTTTGTTTGTGGCTGTAGGTTGTCTTTGTTACGGCCCTTGTTTTTTTACCACCAGAATGATCACTTGCCCAGGCTGCGCTAAGAACTTCGAGCTCGCTGGCCATTCTCATCATCTTGCCACTACGAAAAATCCGCCATGTGCAGCTCTATTTCAACATCATTCTAGTTTTTATATGGATACAGATGACGATCACAGCGACTTTGAACCACCAGCATTAACTGAATTTACAGGGGACTACTTTGGCAACTATGATGAAGAAGATTTGATCTCGCAAAGGATGCTTACAGAGCTACTAACCATAAAGATGAATATACGCAAATGACACTCTGGCTTGAAAGACGCGAGAAGATGTTATGGCACAATAATTTCGTCCAATGGCGCCTTGCTGGCGATCCTCCTCCACAAGACAGGTTACCGCGACATGGACTATTGTCGCTCAATCAAGATGACGAAACACCCAACTATTAGACGTGTTCCATTGGATAGTGTAGTTCACGACTATGGCGCCACTTTTTTCACCGAAGCATTAGCTCGTTATGTCGTTCGCACAAATCAACCTGGCCTTTCTCCAGCGCAACTTGAACAAGAAGCTTCCCATGTCATCCTTCCCTTCCAGACTGTTGCCGCATTCCATAGGGTCAAGTTCCACGCAATCAATGCTCACGGACATCGTGATTCAACCGTTACCGTGGATTCAGTGCACTGTCAGCCACCACGAAAGGACAAAAGAAGGCAGATAGTTCCTGCGCGCTTCGACACAGTTTTAGTTAATGAAGATGGTGGTGGGACGACAGGTGTTGATGGTGCGTGTTTTTTGTACTAATCCCTTGTAACATCATGCTAATATTTGATCATCAATATCAGGGTATCGTGTTGCACAAGTGCGCATCATCTTCACGCTGACAAGCCAGGCTACAGCTGCCTTATTTCGCACACCTGGAATTTTGCCTACCCACTTTGCATATGTGGAATGGTTCACGCCATTCGGGCAGCCTGAAGCAAACCATGGTTTGTATAAAATTTCCCGCCTCATTCGTAATGGAGAGCGTCTGGCAAGCATCATTGACATTTCTGATATTCGCAGGAGTGTACATCTTATTCCAAAATTCGGCCCTGTAGCACCTCATGAATGGACCAGTAGTACCGTTCTGGAGCTTTGTTCTACCTTCTTCATAAACTCGTTCAGCGACAGGCATGCTTATTTAACTATTATCTGACTAGTACTAGAATCGACTACATTCATCTGAAATACAATGATTTCTGTGAAAATACTACATTTCCTGGAATTCAACCGTTTTAAGCTCGAGTTTGAATATTTCGGTGAATTTCCTGGCAGAGGCTTTCCCTGATGCTGCAACTGATACTCGTACCTCGAGCTCTCAATTCCCAACTTTCTGGTTGAGTTCTGTCGACTTGAGATGTCACCAACTTAAGTGATTACGTGATCTATACACTCCGAGGAGATCGCGATGCCAAGCTAACGCCGTGCGTAAGTTCAAACATACTATCCCTTCCACTGCAATTGGCACCCCACAGAAGTCAGCACTTTCACAAAACTCGTATTTCTAGCTACTTAAACACAAAATTCTTAACATCTGTATCATTCTCTCTCTAATGCAACTCATTATGAGGTTGAACGACCACGATTAAAGCAGAATTGAGTGAGATAGTCGAAAGTGCCAAAGTCATGCAGAAATGTCACCTGCGAGCTTCGTCAGACCTGACATATGAGCCATGCATTCAGGTTTCAATTCAGAGAATTGCAAATGGGTTATATAAATACATTGCAGCTGCAGCAAAAGAACAGAATGTGAGTCGTGTTTCGTCATGTTACAATGCACATGGTCTCAACTCTCCCTAGATATCCACCTCGATTTTACAACTACAGCACTAATAACAGTCGCCCTCATACTTAGGTATATCTACTATTCAATACTATACTTGCTCATTCGAACGAATACTAATTGACCTTGCCCACTTGCTTGACTGCCGAACTGACTTTAAAATTGGCCTACATGACATATCATGACTCACAGTGACATTTGCGTGACTGCCGACTTCTGTGGGGTGCCAATTGCAGTGGAAGGGATAGTATTCTTACATCTGCAAAACCACTGAAATGAATGCTTAACTTATGCGCATTACGGACACTTACAAACACTTATGACCTCAGTAGTGCACTCATGCGATTGGTGGAATTTTATCAGCGAGTTGATTGTCTTATCGATCCAAAAAGCATGTAATCAAGACCAAGATCATTGTGCCTGCAGTACTGTGTTTACAAATGATGCTACTACTGGAAAGGACAGTGACACAAGATCAATGCTAAAGAGTATACTCAGTGTCCAATGATTCATGCAACACATTATAAATCTCCTTATCCACATAACAGTTGAGATAAAAGTGGTCATAGTGCTCTTGAGACATTGTTAAAGTCAAGGAACGGTTAACCTTTTCTCCATACACCAGGACCAACTCCACAGGGTGTGTTACCTCTGTTATGGAAATGACAAACCTGGTGCAGGTTTTGGGCTGCATTTCAGGTGCATAGACCCTCTTGAGCTTCTACAATCAAGTGTCCTCTAGATCCTCGGGGGTTGTTATGATACGAAAAGGTTGGACATAGAGGAGGGGGTGCGACAAGAAGTCAGGAAGTTTTGCAGTTGAGCACTGGGGTGGAGCCAGCTGGAATACAATGCGAACTTGAGCAACTGAAACTAGATAATAGATGTTGTCAGTACATGGATGATAGGTAGTATAAACCAACTTACAACCAGGGTTATTTGCACCTTGATTCATGTCTAAGAAAATCACATCACAATTTCTGGGTGGAAATGCATCACTTGGCAGTTTGGCTTGGACAGCTTGGCTGGGCATGATGATTGATGGGTGAAATGTCAAATGTAGGTGGATATGAAACTTGGACCAAACCTTGATGGCGCTAAACATCCAGAAGCACTCTTTGACATCATCTGTGTATTGCTAAATGTATTCTGTGACCTTGTGACGAAGGTCAGGGAGTCCATAGGTGTGCATCACATCAGGCCAGCTGAGATTTGAGCCATCAGGAGAGCGAGTGACGGTAAGTGCTGCATTGGCACTATTGGAGAGGATGCCCTTGGTAAAATGATTGTGTATGGGCCTGGGGGCACTGAAATGATGATGTGCGTCGGGGGTGACATGAGAAACCCATGCCATTGTTGGGTCCGTGGTGCATACTTCTTCATCTTCATCGACAACGGCATTAATGAGAGCTTGGTTGTGTTGGCAAAGGAGGAGATATAGATTGAACTGCCGCATCCACTCTTCACGATCAAGGATGTGGACGATCTGCTCCCCGAAATCTTTCTGTTTGCTCATTCTCGTGAACGGGCTTTTGCAATGTGTGATTAGAAGCTGTTCACTAACATCCACAGTGAGCTGAACAAGTCCACTGTTGTTCCTAATGGCCTCTGCGAAGCTCAGAAGGAGTTTGAGTTTTGGTATGTAGAAATCCTCCTTGATGTTGCTTTTCCCCTGACGTGCTTCAGCTTCCAGGATTGCCACCTTGCAATTGTGGAATTTGTTAAGTGACACTTGCATTGCTTCGATGCTTGATTCTGTATGGATGGGGTTCTGTGCTTGATACATGAAGTTGATGAGAGCACGAATAGGTCGCACAAATTCAGGAGGAGCAGCACCCGAAATCATGGCAACAATGGTGCACTGGATATCATGATGCTCTCATCCAGTCATCTGTGCCACATGTGAGATCCCAGAAGAGAAGTGATGCATGCCAATACATTTGTGGTGGCTCTTGTAGCATGCATCGAGCTCGTCATTTCCAACCACTTCTTTACACCATTGCAACAGATGGTTGAAGAAGAATTTGTGCAGGGTGTGAAGGATTTCAGGGACAAGGAAAATAAAAACCTGGGTAAGTGGCCAGTCATGCCAGAATGGAAGATGAACACCTAGAAGGAGAAGCTCCTTTGACTTCTTCTGGAACTGGTCAAGATTCCATGGGTCAATTGACTGACTGAGAATGTACAATAGCTCCAGAGTATGCTCTGCTGTGCAAGGATTGTGATGGTTGGTATCCCTGAATTGCTTGTGAGTGGCCAGTGTGATGGGGGAAGCATTCTTTGACACAGAGGCGATCATCAACTGTTCTGGAAGGTCTGCGATCCAAGTGACAAGAGGGGTAAAGCAATATTGAAGTTCACCAAGGGGTCAGGCATAAACTTGCTGACTTTTGCTGCAACTTTTAAGCCAGCAAAGACTAAGTCGACACACTTGTGCCAGACATGCGACTTCAGAATCGTATGATAATTGGGATGTGTTTCAAACTTTGGGATCGGCATATACGCCACACATCGCCAAGTGTGGGATGTAGCCTTCATATGAACATCAGAGTTGATGTTGCCAATAGTGAGGAAAAGAGGGTGCATTTCCAGACCGCCTGTCTGTCTTGTGACTGGTGTTTTGTCTGATGCAGCTATTATGGGCACAATAGTCGCCCCTTCAGGCAGCTGATCCTGGAATAGTCGATAGTTAAGGATGTGACAATACAGAAAAAAAGTACATACTTGTGTCGAGAATGCTCAATTTGCTGTGAATCACTCTCCATATTTTCACTGCGCACCCTCCCAGACATGCAGAGGGTCAAAAGACATATTTTGAGCAAAAATAGGGTTTCCAAAGAGGCTCTTCGCGACTTCAAGGCCATCACACCATATTAGATGAATGGGAGTGTCAGTGGTGTACCCCTGGACTTCAAACTGTGTGGTCTGCCATTTTGGCCCAGGAGGTAACAGGTCCATCCAGGACAATAGTTCTCGAGCACATGAGAATGCGGGCTTATCTTTCACATTGAACTGATAATGTAGAGTTAGCGAGTAGTATATGGACAGATCATGTAAAATACCCAAGACAGTTTGAGAAAATGATCAATCTCTGTCTGTGTCATGGTCAACTAAAAATTTACTGAGTGACCACTCTCCATGATTATGAAAGGGCCAGTACATATTTTTCACCCATTTTGGCTCATGTTCATCGTTCTGAATTTGCTGAAATATGTTCTGTCCTTCAATAGGGAACTTCAATGAGGCTAAGAAGTATAGCTTTATGACACCTCCCTACAGTTTAGTCATATTCCCACACCCTGGCTCATAATAAAGCAATTACATGAAAAGTTACAAACATTGAGACACTTTTTTGAGCCACTGTATTGAGCAGTCCGATTGAATTCATCTTCCATGGTCTCATTGACTCTGAACTGCCCATTGTGATGTCTGTGGATTCCACGTAATGCAGGGGGCTTGGCCATGTGTCCTTCAGATCCTGATGGCCAGCATGTCTCAGTTGGGTGGTTTAGGTGAGAAAGCAAGTCATGAATGGATGGAAAATGTTGTTGGCAGTCTGAGTTAGGGCAGGTCATGGCAGGATCTCTTGCATTATCAGAAATGATCTGCTGAGGCCAAGGAATATCGTCCGCTGGAACATTGTTCATTGTGGTTCAAGCATTCCAGATCCGTGTTGATTGCATTGAATTCCTCCAAGTATTTTAAACTCCGATACTTCCTGCTTTTGACTGCTGACAGTCGGTACACATATCATGATATCTACTCGCCAACACTAACACACACCAAACCTGGTTTGTGCATGGTCATGGCTACTTTTCATCCTTGAAGTTCCCTATTTTGCTCTATGAAATTATCATGAATTTTCTACACTACCTTAAGACTTTACATTACAATTTAACAGTTCAAATTAATACTTATGTGGTTCAAAGATTGGTTACAAACATACCACAATGGATTATTCAGCATTTCTCATGATCTCTTATATTTTACCACCATACATTTCTCACAACTTTCTGTATTAGTCAGATGGAGAAAGTTTATAGATGAGAATATGTGAGAAGTAAAAAAGTCATCATGGAACATCTTGACGATGGAGTCACTATGAGTCATATTTCCTTATTTAGATAGTCACACAGCCACATTTAGAGTAGTATATAAGGGATTCTGTTTCCCCTCTGAATAATAGATGCCCTCTTCTTGAAAGATTCCCTTTTGAGAAGAAAGGAAGATTTGAATATCTTCTTAAGTTTCTCACCCTATATTTGAGTGAATATCTGAGTGAATATTAGTTTATTCCCTCCATTCATTTATCATCATTTCCCACAATATACTGATCTTCTGAGGCCTACCTTGAGCCAATCCTTAAATTACACTAGCTGGTACATGGTTATCAGTCGTCTAGTTGTAGTTTCGTCATTCTCTTTATGACACAGGATATCTTTTCTGTGGGGAGAATCTACATATTTCTTAACAATTAGAAAGGAAGACAAATAAGACTAGCACTTTACTCAACAATATTAAGAGCTTGGCTGCTTTAAGGCTACACCAAGAGGGTGTACTCTGTTCTGACCTGTGTCATACTCATTGTGCAGTACCTGAGCAGCAGAGAAGTTAGTTTTGAAGCCACATATTTAGGTTGATTCAATTGTGTTAGAGGCTTAGTTTGATCTCCTCTGATTTTGAGAATAGGAAGTGTTTACAAGATAATACTCTGATTCATTGCATATCATTGCCATCCATTATTATCATCTTATCCTTGCATATCTTTGCAACCATCTTCTTGTAACATCATAGCACTGCATCAAGCTAGTTATTGATTTGGCTACACCATCATCCATCAATCCTTATCATCTGTGTCCTAAGTACTGCATCAAGCCAGTTAACGGATCAACAACTTTCAAGAGCTTAAGCACTGCATCAAGTCAGTTACCAGTTACCATTCCTGAGATTTCCCTGATCTCACCCCTTTCAAAGTCATTTGGAATTTGCTTTTTTTGACAAACCCAACTTTTACACCTCCTCCCACAAACAACCACATTATCAACCATTGGTATTTGTCTGAACCATTGACTGTGGAGGATAGTGAGAACTGGTGATTTTTATTGCCAATCACATCCTAGTAGGACAACACCATGCATCTCCCACCCAGAGTTCATCTCCCCCCCAGAGCTCATCTCCTCCATCAAGCAACAGACCACTTACCCCACCCAACAATTTAAATGATTGTTTTGTGAGCCCTCGCATCATTCAGGATTATACTCCATCTCTTCTAGCCCATGGCATTGTCCGCCACCTCTCTCAGTATACAACCTGTGCAAAATCATAATTTACTCCTTATGCACGCCCTGCTGGGCAAAGTGCACCAGAATTGCGCTGGACAAGGAGGTCAATACTCAGGAATGATCACACTGATATATCATTAACTGATGCAAAGGCAGTATGTTCAATGCTTATCTATCTTATGGTGTGGCATTTAATAAGAATGAACAGGCTGCTGCTATTTTTCGATGTGGCTTGCAGAGCATGGATGAGGAGACTATCACACAAGGTGTTTCTGCAAAGCAAGTGACTCGTGAAAAGTCATGCTTGCATCTCCTTATGACTGCATGGGAGATAGAGGAGACTGAGCATCATAAAAGACTTCTTGACCTACTTCAGCAGAAGAATGCTCGGGAATACGTTGCAGCATCTAATGAAGCTCGCCTGTTCAAAAGGTTCATGACCCACCATCACGCAAACCAGCTTGAAGATGACTTTGACTTTGATGTTGGAACTTACAAGGAGGAGCTACAAGCATTCAGTGTTTCAGAGGAGCAATTAAATTAACTCGAGGCCTTTGCAGTCAATCACAACTTCCATGACCCCAACCAGCTGATCACCAAGGATAAATATTCCATGGACCCCTTTGTCAATGATGCTGAATCAGATGACAATGACAAAGACTGGGACGAGCCCATATCAGAAGTTAGTTCTGACAGATCAGGCGTCAAAGGTGAAGGGTTTGCCTTGGAAGCGAGTTTTTGAGGTAACCCCCTCATTTTTCTACTAATATTTAAGTGCTTACATTTATTTCTACAGTGATCAAGTATATATCAATACCATGTTCTTAACTGATCTGCATGTAGCTTGGGGTTCCACTGTTTACCCTTCTATTTCCCGACAATTCAGTGTACTGCATATGACATGTTTGTGTCTCGTGTTTCAACAACGTGTAGACAGTGTTTCCCTTCTTGTATCAAATATTGTAGCGCTTGACTGATCACACCTGTTATAATTACATGTTCACCATGAGTGTTCAGACTGAATTCTAGCTTCCACCCTCGATTTGCTGCCTCAATGAAACATGTGTTTGATTTGTCAATGGCCAGTGCCACTATAAATTTAGTCCTGTTCCATTTTCCCCTCAGCTTTTCCAGCTCTCTCTAAGTATGCCTCCCAAGAAGACATCAAAGGGAAAGTGGAAGTCAAAGGTATGATATCAATTATTCATCACTGCATCACTACAAACTAACAAATTTCTAGCAATTACTAAAATAACTGGAGTCCACAGGGAAGAACCCATGTGGAAATACTGCTAGCGCTCAGATTGGACTGGCCATGGAGCATCTGGTAGCACCATCCAGACTGGCTATGCAGCCACCAGCCATGCCCCCCCGCACAACCAAGGCCGGTGCCATATGTCAATCCCTGCAGCAGGGGCTACCATATATGTACGATATGACAGTTGGTCCATCAATGACATTGTATGCATGGTTCCCACAGCAGCGCCCCACACAGATGAACCTTCCTAGCTAGGACATGATGGGCAGCCCATCCTCAGTTCGTGCAGCAGTGGCTCCCACAGATGTCAGACCTCCCTAGCTGGGACATGATGGCAGGCCCATCGACCATAACACCTATGCAATTTCTGCCATGGATGGCCCCGCAGATACCTCCCTCTAACCAGCAATTGATAGCTGGCCCATCAACCATACCACCTGCTTGATTTCAGCAGCAGATACCCACACAGTCCACTACCTGTGTGCAGACTCCCATGCTCAATGTGGAAGGAGTCCACCAGGCTGTCAAGAGCTACAGGTCAGGCCTGAGGATGTGGCCAGGCTACAGTGACACATTGGTATGTGTCACATAATTCAGTACTTTATTTTCGACTTAGTCAGACAGCCAAAGGTTGAGAATCGACCCAGTTAGGCAGGCCATCCAATGTGGGCCCATGTGTGCTTATGCATGGATGGGCCCACAGTGTGGAATAGCGCCCATGCTAGCGGGTGGGCCAAGTGTCGATGCCATAGCATGAATGGGACAATTGTAATGGGCCACAAGGTACATGGGCCCAGTTATATATCTCGGAAGGGGGGTACGGATGGGCCCAGTTATATGTATATCTCGGAAGGGGGTATGGATGGGCCCAGTTATATATCTCGGAAGGGGGGTACGGATGGGCCTAGCTACTTATTCTTGGGGAAATTTGATGTTGGAAGAGCCAACAGGAAAATTTTGAGCCCATAATAGTATCAGGCATGGCTGGCGAATGGGCTCAGCTTGTATCGGAATAGCTTACGGATGAGCCCAGCTGGTTATTGACAGTATCAGAAGAGGGCACAAGTGAGCCTACCGGTTATTCCTGGGCCCATCACAATACTGGGAAGGGTTAGTGGATGGGCCAACTGGTTATTTTGGGCCCAGTAGATACCAATTCAGTGTGCGGATAGGTCAAATATGCAAGACCTGGCCTGGCACATAACAAATTCAGGTGCGGATCGGCTCAGTACACAAGCATCCGGAAGGGCCCAATTGGTCCTCACATTCAATATGCGGATCGGTCCAGCTGGTAAGGTTTAGGCCCAGTGCACCAATATCCAAAAGGCCCGAACTGGCCCAGCACATGCACATTCCCACAGATTGGGCCAGTCAAGGTGGGCCCCAATATGCAGGCAAGTCGGGTGGGCCTACGATGAAGGAATTCCCAGTAGTGATGGGTGAGCCATTAGTATATGGATGTGGTACTGATTTGGTAGGGGTCATGGATGGGCCCAGCAAGTTTTTTCGGCCCACTGGATATGCATATGATCCTGCCTGGAGGGGCAACGTATAGTCTCATCTATTGTTCGGCCCAGTACACATGCCGGGTAGTCTTGGATGGGCCTACGGATGGGCCCAAGAGAATATTCATTTGATCTCAGAAGGGCCGACTAAGCTGAATATATGGCATGGGACTGCATTGTATTCTTGAAGGGCCAGCTAGTTATTTGGTCTGCCCCATGATAGGCATCTGATTTCGGAAGGGCCAACAGTTGCGCCCAGCAGGATATTCTTCGACCTAGTACATGTGCAAATAATCTCGGAGCGGCTTCTGGATAAGCCCAGTGCAAGTGTTGGATCTCGGAAGGGCTCAGCTAGAGAATTTTGGCCAAGTCAGTGCACTTTGTGTCAGAGACTAGTTTTACAGATGCAACTGGTGCAACAGAAACAAGTAATAAAATATGGGACAAAGTTCGATATGAATGCTGATCCGGATCCGACGTTGATATACATGTCGGAGGGATGCACCATACGTGTACTGTCTGCAATGATGCACATCATTATAACGCTCAGGAAATCATCGGCCACGATCATCGTGCCGTAGTTGGGAGTGTCAAAACTTTCATTGCCACTACCGCATGAATATTACAGCTTCATGTCATCATCATGAAGTAAAGCATATCCTCACTATGGAAGACAAGATATTGAATGAAACAACAATGCAGCTCATATCTACAAATCACATAAACCCAGAACTGAGCTACAGGAGATGGGGACCGTGAACAGCATAGTAAGGAAAGATGTAGCTAAAAGTACAGAATATATAGGGTATCATGATATAAAGAATCCCGGAAACTAGTCGATCCGAGATGTACCGGATAGGGTGTCATTGCTCTCTACCAGGCATCCGAGGCGTCAAGGTGTTGCTCCAGTGCGTCCAAGCGCTGGTGGATGATGGTCTCCACTGAACGAACTCTTACATCCAAGGTGTCCAGTCGCTCGTTGGTGGCTGTTACAAGTAACATCGGCTACATGGCCCCCCTATCATTTTTCCCCTTCGTCCTCGCCCTCGTATGCCTCCGGCTCGTACTTCTCTACCGACTATCCATTGACCGGATCCTCGGGACCGTTCCCGTCCCTCGTCCCCCCCTCCTATCGCACCAACATGCGCACGTGCCTTCGGGCTATGACTCGTTCTGACTTGTGCCACCAATGTGGCTTTCCTTATCTTGTCTTATCTTTCCTTTGACTCGTGCATGCTGCACATTGTATCATTTACCGTTGGCTCGTTCCAATGTTTCTCGGTCTCATTCCGCATTCGACCTTACATCACTAATCAGGCTCTGCTACCAGTGTACCTATACCCTTTCCGTTTCCCCTTTGCCCTTACCTACAGTACGGTAGCCTTGCCCTTAACCCTTTCCACTTAGTATAAGTAGTCGGTCACTCTGTACTAGATTCCCTAACTTGAATCTACTCAATCTTCCCTCGAACATACTTCCCTCTGAAGCCCCCTCAGCTTCAGTCTCTAGTATCTTTTCTTAGGTGCTCATCGCGCCTAAGTCTACCTCGATCGACTACCTCATCGTTCGGACAAGACTGTCCTTACTTTGAGAACGTCAGTGACTTTGAAGACATCCGTCTTAGAAGTCACGTGACACGCGCGTCTCTGATATCTGCCGACTCGACGTCGCCAGTCTCAGTCGCTACACCGGACCCTTCCGGTTACGTCATGAACGTTAGCGGACGACGCCCCTCTTAGGGCTCCGCATAACAGATCTATTTGAGTGCGTAACAGTGGCCAGGAGATCAAATCTCCTGCTGAGGTCCTGAATGCCCTGCAGGATGTCCCTTGCAGTGGGCTCGGGATCGGTGCAGTTGGTTGGCGCAAACTGATCACCCTGTTCGGGCTGTTGGCTTGTGCTGTTGATCGCAAGCGTTTTGATCGGCACATCAGCCGGCAGGCCAGGTTGTTGCTCCACCTCTAAGAGTTATCTCAATGAGTTAACATCCTTCCATTTGGACGGAAAGCTCACCTTCGGCGATGTTAAGTATAACCGGAGAGATCACACGGGACTTCCGAATGCGCGTTCTGGAGTGTTTGGCAGAATTCGAGGAAGCCGCGGACGCCTTTGCCTGGATTCTCTTCCTCACACCGATGCCGTCGATCGCACAGGTGACCTTCATGAGGTCGCAATTTGCACACGCAAGTCGCATGCATCCGAACTTTTTGTCCAGAAGGACAACGCATGGTATGTCCATTTTCGTGCACTTGTCGCACTTCCAGGGATGGAAACGAACGGAATGCTTGAAATTTGTTAGGTTGTCCTGGTACAGATAGACACAACGACTTACCTGGAATGGAGTAGCGATACAATCATCTGAGCCCCATTCTGCAGGCTTGACAATGGGTCAGCATCAGCGCTATGGATAAGTGAGAATCACTTACCCGAATGTCTGAATCCCAGAAACCCTGGTCATCGCCTGGCGGACCAGCCTTGTCAGGAGCAACAGACGGTAATGCCTGGAGCGATAAGCCATTTGCTGCATCAACCAAGATCAACTGACATACCTTCGGTTTTGCATCAATTATTGCAGTTGGCGCATCCGACATCAACTTCCTTTTCTTTTTCAGAGGCTCTTGGGGCGAGGAAGGTAACTTGGGGGTTTCGACCACAATGGCCCCATCCGTATCTTCATCGCCTGCCTTTCTCTTCTTGCTATCGCCGGCCGTGGAAAGTGCCTTCCAATGTTCCCTCTCAGCTTCGGCCACATACAGGTGGCAGTATCTCAAGGGTGGATGTGCCGGACGAAGGAGAGGGGGTAGGTTCTTGAGCACTCGTGGGTGGGAAGGGTGTTTTGGTTGCGCTACCGGCTTGGCAATGAGATCCAGGTCCATGCAGGATGGATTCTGACGTGCTCGTAAGTGCGAAGATCGTCTCGGTTCCGGTACAGGCTTGGCAATGATATCTGGGTCCGCATGGGATGGCATTGATGCAAGAGCTGAGGTTGTCAAGGGCGGGATGATGTGAGGTGGTGAGGTGGAAGAGGTGGTGATTGCGCTCGATGTCGCAAGTAGAGAAACATCAAGGGCAAAGGGTGGGCGATAGTCCACGGTCTTCTCAAATCGCGGGTGGTCCTTGATCCGTGGGTCGTCTTCTGCTACCGAAGTCCAATCGGGGACACTCTCAAAGGCGCCACCCTTTGAATACTGCCGGATAACAGCGGCACAGGAGAGTAGCAGGGGAGAGAATGATGTCGCATTCCCTGCATAGAGTTTCAAGTCTTTGGCCTGTGTGAAATGGTCGGGTTGCAAAAAAATCTGAAGTCGGAGAGGAAATATAACTTACCACTCGCCTGGCGATCTCATCCGAGAGCCTTAAGGTTTCTGGGTCGGCTTCCTTTAACTTCATGCAACACTTGATGAGCGACTGCACATCAGCCAGAGTTGTCTCCAGGGCGTCGTTGGCTGCTTCCTGAGGTATCATGACAAATTGTGAAGTGATGAAGTTCGTTAATGGCAATGAAAGGGATGGAAGCAAGAGAGTATGTTTGTGTGGGAAAATGGCTGGGTGTCATCCCAATCTGCCGGTTCTGGGTGCTTCTGAGACCTGTGGTCACTCAGAAATATTGTCCGGGTGTCACACTATTGTACAGAACAATTGTAGCTACCACTCTGGCATTCGGTCACTGCCGTAGGTATATCCACACTGCAAATCCACAAAAAATGGTGTAGAGTCCGGCGATCTCATACACGGCATAGCACCCATTATGGGCGAGAAGTGGATTCAGGGTTGTCACGGTGGAGGTATTGTAGATCAATCCACATATTATTGTGATAACGGACAGTATTGGGGTGAGGGTCTCACCGATACAGACTAGCACGCCGCCGCAACAAGCCTTAATCCACTTCTCACCCATAATGAATGCTATGCTGTGTATGGGATTTCCGGACAGCAGATTATGGTCAGGCGGCATATGCAGATCGGCCTTTCCTGATGTGGATGTGATGACGTAAGACAGCAGTTCTATTGTGCAACAATAATGTTACACCCGGTCCACATTTCAGAGCTTCCACAATTCGCGGAAATGGCCACAACCAACGGGTTGATATAAAAGTTGGCACTTGGACAATTTTCCAAACACCAAATTTTGCTCGTCCGTATCTACATTACCACATTTACTTCTATATCAACCATGACACCTTCCGAGGCAGCAAACAATGCCCTAAATGCCACTCTGGCAGCCGTGCAACCGCTCATGAAGCGTTGCATGAAGTTGAAGGAGGACGATCCAGAGAGTTTGACACTATCGGATGACATCGCCAGGTGTGTGGTGAATTTATTTCTTTTGGACTTTGGAATTCCTGGCAAGCTAAACCCCACATAGGCCAAAGATCTAAGGATGCATGCTGGGGATGCAACATTATTCTCCCTGCAGCTACTCTCCTGTGCTGCCGTGATCTGGCAGTACTCCAAGGGCGGTACTTTTGAGTGCGTCCCCGACTGGACCTCTGTGTCAGACAACGAGTCGAGGATCCAGAGCCACCCAAGGTTTGACAAGACTGTGGGCTACCGCAGTCCCTCTGAGATTGAGGTTTCTACCTCTTTTGAACCCATAAATTTACCTGTGTCTGCCTGTCCTCTCCCCAACAGATACTTTGACGCCGCAGTCCATGGTCTTGGTGGTCTTGCCGACTGCATCCATCACAGATGGAGATCCAATCACCTCACCGGACACTCCACCCAGACCAACATCTCCCCCACCCAAGCCTGCGGATGCAACATCATCCGCTGACACTTCAGCACCTCCTGCTACTCCATTCAAACACAATCTCTTTGTGGCCGGCACTCAGAAGGAATCTGCAAAGGTTGCGCTGCAGGTCGGCAAAAGTAAGAAGAGAAAAGCAGCAGACGACACTGACGAGGCGGTTACTGACACACCCGAGCTGCCTCCCCAGTCCTCGAAACCGAGGCAACAAAGGAAGAAGAAGTTCCACTTGGATGAAGACCAAGAGAAAGCTCCCACCGGAACGGTATATGCGATCCCAAAGGTATGTCAGTCGCATGAATTGTTGACCAAATTGTTAACTCCCTCAGCAGAAGGTATCGCTGCCTGTCGCCGCTAAGAAGGATGCCAACCCGGCAGTTCCGGACACTTCTGATGCGCCTGATGACACAGGTTTCCAGATGCAGACACCAGGGTATGTTATTTGCACTTAACAAAGCTCTTCCACTCATTCATTTATGCAGCCTGCCCTATGGGGCCAGGATTCCCATATCGCTACCCCATTGCAGGCAAGTCATTCAGCATATGACTGCCATAATATGCTAACCATTTTACAGTATTCTGTCCGTCACCACCCCCGGAAGTGCGACAAGTGCAGGAAACTCAACATACCCTGCCTTGTCCTGCCGGACAAGAAGTTCGGATGCATGCAACTAGCTTGCGCCAACTGTGATCAGATGAAAATCACATGTGCGATCGATGGCGTGGGTGTTAGGGAGAGGTTGCAGGTGAAGACCGCTGTAGCAGCATCCAATCCTCCCAAGCACTCCAGAACACGCATTCTGAAGTCCCGCGCCAAGACATCAACTGGCCGCTCATCTAGGAAGACAAACCTACTGCCCCCGCCCCCTAGTTCCTCCGGCAGTGAACAAGAGGGTAATGGTAAGTTTTTGATTCAATCCAAGCAGCTTCCACTCATCTAGATTTCGCAGAGGCAGAGCAATAGCCAACGGATGTCCTGCCCAGAAATGCTCCAATGGCGCAACTTCCAACCACATCCACAGCCAACCCAGTCCCACAGCCCAAACAGGACGCCCAGCCTGCGCCGGCCAATGCCATGGATGCCGAGCCAACAGCAAGACACATCTTGCAAAGCATCCAGGACCTTGGCAGGAGATTAGATCTCTTCGCCACCAATGAGCGGGTGGAGGCATTGGAGGTAAGAGTTGCTTCAGCGGAGACCAACTTCAACCAACGGTTGAATGCATTGGAGCAACGGCTGAACATCTCGGATGCACGGCAGAGAGCGATGTCCGCATCTTAATGTCTCCAGATCTTACAATATGGCTATCCTTTTTGTCTTTTCAAGGTTCTTGTACATACTGGCTCCCGATATTCTGAGGATTTATGCCCCGTGTCATGCTCCCGTTGTTACCATATGACCAGCTTTGATATGTTCTAGGTTTATGTATATACCGGCTCCCGATATTCTATGCCCAATGCTATGCTCCTATTGTTACAATATTACTGACCGTTTTGTATTGTAAAGGTTCTTATGGATACACTAAGCCAATATTCATGAGCCCGGCCCATCCGAGATCAATGTTTGTGCTTTGGCAAACCAACTGGGCCCGACAAGGCCCAAGGGAATTCATTTGGTCTCGGAAGGGCCCACAAATCAAATTATACGGCATAGACTTTGCATTTGATTTCGGAAGGGCCAGCTGGTTATTTCTCTGGCCCAAGATAGGCTCATATGATTTCGAAAGGGCCCAGCTGGATGTTTCTTAGGCCCAGCACGTATGAAAGTTATCTCAGAGGGGCTTCTAGATAAGCCCAGCAGGTTATTTCTTCGGCCCAGTGCTAGTGTTGGATCTCGGAAGAACTTAGGGAAGGGCTCAGCCAGGTATTGTAGGCCTAGTCAGTGGCTATTAAGTCTTCAACCCAGAACGTACACAAGCGGCTGGGGAAGGGGCATCTACAGAGTGTTGGTAATGATCTCGGAATGAGTGACAGATGGCCCCAGTAAATGAGTTTGTAAAGGGCCTACAGATATACCCAGCATGTCAATGTTCATTGCTGTTTCAGGAAGGTCTGGTGAGGGATTTTTCAGGCTGTACAGTATCTTATGGATCTCCCCAAAGAGTAAAGCATTTGGTCTCGGAAACACTGCTGAGTGCCTGGTACATGCGCATGTCATCTTGGAAGGGCCGATTGACATTACTTTGACACGATATAGGATTTGGTCTCAGAAGGTAGTATAGCGAGGTTTAGTCAATAGGGATGCATCTTGATATACATCTCAGAGGGATACACCATACATGTAGCATCTGCAATGATGTGCCCTCTACTGCATGAACTATCTATACCGGAGTATCATGGCATCGACTGTCACAGGTTCATGTGATCATCATGAAGTAAAGTATATTCTCACTAGGGAAAATGATATGTAGCAACCAACAATGCAGCTCATATATACAAATTACATGGACCAAGACCCAGTCTACAGGAACATCGACCAGGAACAGCATAGTCAGGACAAAGTGGCTGAATTATTGTATATATATGGTAATGGTGACTTGCGTAACAGATCCGGGTATCATGAGATGTACCGGAGATGCTGACATGCTCTCTATTGGGCATCTGATGTGTTCCACCCCCTCATTGGTGGCCAGGAGATCAAATCTCCTGCCGAGGTCCTTGATGCCCTGCAGAATGTCCCTTGCAGTTGGTTCGGGACCGGCAAGGTTGGTCAGCGCAAGCTGATCATCCAGTTCCGGTCGTTGGCTTCTGAGAAGAATTGGGAACGTATGCATGGGCACATCATCCGGCAGGCCAGGCTGTTGCTCCGCATCTGAGAGTCATCTCAATGAGTTCAACTTCTTCCAATTTGACGGCAAACTCACCTGCCATGAGGTTAAGTTTAACCCCAGAAGAACGGGAGGATTGCGCGAGTGTGTTCTGAGCCGGCATCTTGGAGATCGCGCCAGATGTCGGAAAGTGCATTCCAGAATGTTCAGCAGAACTCGAGGAAACCGCGGATGCCTTTGCCTGCATTCTCTTCCTCACGCCGACGCCATCCGAGGAACTGTCCACTCTGAGATCATTTTATCACTGCCTCCACTTAGGACCGATCCGCCATTGTTTCCGGAAGATCCCCTACGGCTGTGAGGTACCGTCCACTCTGCGATCATTTTATCACTACCTCCGCTGAAGACAGATCTACCATTGCTTCTGGAAGATCCTGTATGGCTGTGAGGTACTGTCCACTCTGACATCATTTTATTGCTGCCTCCGCTGAGGATGAGGTCGTATATTCCATTTATGTATGGTAGAATCCTCCTTACTGAGACTTGTGAGAAGGCGTGTGCCATGGGCAATAATCGAATTGGCGAGCTACATTACAACAGATATTAATCTATGTCGCCGTTCTCCGAAAAAAAACAGACTGGTATCAAGTAAAGTGGACTTTTGGTGATACAACAAATTATAAATGAATCAAATGACCATTAGTGACCCTTAACCAAATATACAGCGGCGCTTTGCAGCTGGCTCCCGAACATCTTGCTCAGGATGAAATAGATAATTCAGCATATCCAAGTCATGCTCTGCCACAATCTTCTGCCCATCCCATGCACCGTCAGGCCATCGAATATCCTCCTGATTGACATACATAGGATAATGCGTCTTCTGGATCGGTCCGGCCCAATTGAAATCGAGCAGCATGAAGTGTTTGTCGTCCCGCTGAAGGTACAACAATTCAGATGGTGAGTCTGAACAATGTGTTGGGTCTTGCAGAACCTAGCTGCTATTCGACCCTAAAGGGTTTCTGGACCAGGCTCAAGGCTCAGAGTAGAGGAAATATCATAAAAACTTGCTGATCTCTCAGACTCATAGTAAAACTGGTGAAAAGGTAACTTTATTATGTAAGCTACAAAAGTGCCAACATAAGGTAAGGTAAAAACAGTCTCTACCAGCCCAGCCAGAAATGAATCCCTACACTGCACAACGAAATTGGTATCTCAGAGGTCGCCATGAACGTAGCCGTCATTGTGATTGTGTAACTCCCGGACGCGTGTGTGTTACGATGAGCTTTACTGAGGTCCAACGATGTCCAGGGTGGTTTCTGTGCTCTCGATTATGAGGGCACAGGGCTCATAACCTGTTGAATCTAGACAATGTTATTGGTTAGCGCCTCAGCTTGTGGTAATGGACTGCATTATCAATGTACCTAGACAATGTTATTGGTTAGCGCTAAGAGCGAACATTAGATCTAGGTATACAATGAGGCAAGATAAATAACATACCCTCAGCTCGTGGTAATGGACTGAGGGTCGAATGTACAGTAGAGAGAAATATATATGATGGTTTGAATAGCGATCGTTCAACTCCGATTATTGTTGTGCTGCGTTGATCACATGCATGTCACATGTGCCAACAATTCCTTTATCGTGTGATCTGCAATTGTGATACATATGTGTCATATCTAAGAAGTAAAGTAGAACGGTTTCGGGAGGAGTCGCCAGCTCGCGTGGCTTTCGCTAAAGGCCACATGGGAGCGCTTAACCTCGATTTGGCAACTCGCGTGGTTTTGTCACGTGTTTTCGAACACTGACTCAAATAGTGTTGCCCGTTGGGAACTTAGCATGACCTTGGTAATGTACCTGGCATTAAATAATGAATTCTTTTTTGGCCTGAGCAGGGCAAAGATATGTGATGAGATTTGAGTGTTTTTCCTACTGTACTGATTGTTATGGTAGTATACATAGAGCAAATAATGGAACAACATATAATACAATGACAGACAGGGGGAAAACAAATATGAGATAAAAGAGATTGGGAGATGAATGACAGAAGGTTATGAAAAAAATAAAAAAGGGAGAAAAAGATCACTTAGAGACTCAAAAACTGGAGAATGGGAGGACAGGAAAATGGGAATGGGAAACTGGGAGAACCAGAGAACCAGAGGACGGGAGACGGGAGACAGGAGATGGGATTAGCATGGGTATATCCTAGGGTATCTGAGGTGAAACCCTTACCCTTACTTACCAATATACCATCACCCACAGTGTAAGTGTGGGTTTTTGAAGGGTACCAGAGATAGATACCATGGGTATACCCCAGGGTAACACTTTTCCAATCACATATATTTTACCATTTGAAGGCAAATGTACAACTTCAAAATTTTATATGTATCCATCACTCCTATGGTAATCAATTTGGGGATATATTCCCAGGGGTACAGGGGTCTTCAGATCCAAATTCCTATCCCTACCCTCAAGGGTTTCCCATACCCTTGCTGATCCCTAGATGGGAGATGGGAAGCAGGGAAAAATGGGAAATGAATACATTCAATGATACTGTTACATATTTTTTTATTTTATGTTGTGTAGTAGATTGAGTTTTTTTGAAAAGCTGCTCATAAATGTATTTCAAAATCATTCAAAATGCACAATTTATTAGGATGCAGCCTGAGGCCAGGAAGCCAAAGGAGGGCGTAGCCCTCCTTGGCTTCCTGTGACGAAGGAACAACACTCATTTTCCTCCCCTGAAGGAGCGCTACGCGCTCCTTCGATTTGTGCCGAAGGCACAACAGGCGTGAGCTCGTTATGCATTAGATAAAGGTAGATAAAACTTTGCCATTTTGTAGTCAAATGTCTGATGTTGCCATCATGTAGCCGAGCCACCCCATTACTACCGTGACATGTGTCATCCGATATCCGATACTTGACCTTGAACGCGTCACCCGCATAAATCAATATCACTTCGCTTCGTCCACCCCCATCATGGTATGTGCATGGTCTATACTCTTTGTGATCTTATTATTAAAATATGTTCTAGTTTCGGAACACGTACGACTCTGATAACACTGTATTTTCACCACAAGGTCGTCTTCACCAAGTCGAGTATGCACTCGAAGCCGTGAAACAGGGATCGGCGGCAGTGGGCCTGCGATCGAAGACCCATGCGATCCTTCTTGCTCTCAAGGTTAGTGGATGATAATTACTACAGGACAGCTCTTCACAAAGAGTCCATACAGCGTTCAACAGGAGAACTCGCTTCATACCAGCAAAAGATGTTCCGCATAGACGATCATGTCGGCATTGCCATTGCTGGTCTTACTTCAGACGCACGAGTACTCAGGTGCTTATTAAGTTTTACAGTGCATAGCATGCATTCTAACTTGACTGCAGCAACTTTATGCGACAGCAAGCAATGGGGGAACGTATGATGTTTAACAGACCTATGCCAGTAAACCGCCTTGTCTCTTCCATCGCTGATAGTATGTGCTTGAGTAGCTCTCGCATGGCTGATGCTCATTTCGTTGATTGTAGAGGCGCAAGTGAACACGCAGGAGTATGGTCGCAGACCATACGGAGTTGGTTTCCTCGTCATTGGTCAAGATCAATCCGGACCCCATCTTTTTGAGTTCTCGCCATCAGGAAACTCGTATGAGTATTATGCCATGTCGATCGGTGCTCGCAGTCAAAGTGCAAAAACCTATTTGGAGAAGCACTATGAAAGTTTCGCAGATTGTATGTGCCGTATCAATCTTACACCGTGTTCATACCATTGAAGTTGTTTCAGGCAACCTCGAGGACCTCATTCGGCATGGACTTCATGCCCTCCGCGAGACCCTCCAACAGGACAAGGAGCTTAACGTGAATAACACGTCGGTAGGCATCATCGGACCCGTGGGTCAACATGAAAAGCCCATTTCGCCGCTAGGCAGCTTCCGGATCTTAGAGGGCGACAACGTAGAGGTATACCTTCAGAGTATGGAGAAGAAGGAGGAGGCACCCGCACCTGCATCCGTACCTGATGCAGCACCAGCGCCTACTGCTGATGAGGATGTACAGATGTCAGGATAAACTAAGATATAATAACAGCCGCCTTCCTATTTGATCAATCACAAAAACTGAGGTTCGAAAGACCCATGGTTCAGATGCATAACATGAAATAATGATAAGGGAGTGGTGATGTGTAGCTCTAGAATGTCGGGTCATGTGTGGGTAATGTGTCTTACAGGCCAGAGACCCTTTGTCTGCATCCCAGCTTTCCTCCACGCTTGTGCAGCTAAGCCTGGCCTACGCAACGATACTAGTAAGTGCACCATCGTGCTCAGAAGAGCAATGCTTCCCGCCTGATGAGCAGCTGCAATGGGTACAGGGACAAGGTATAATAATGTTGCGAGACCCAGAAGAACCTGTACATTTGCCATGGCAAAAGCTGCCGTGACAGATCTGCTTGCAAATGGTGGTAACAGCGCACGGACGGCGGGATCGCCGACTGTAAGCGAAGAGCAGACAAGTACTGAGATACGTAGTCATCGCCTATAATCGAACGAACACTTAGAAGAATACAATATAGGAAAGAACGAAACGTACAAGAACCCGATGATCGAACTGAACGGTAATGGGATTCTCAAAGATATTTCTCCACCAGATGTCAGATCCGTCGGCATTCTTTGCATAGGCGGACGAGAATAATTCGTCCATGGGAGGTGCAAGTCGACCCCCCATGAGCGGAAATTCGTTATACAGCAAACCGGCATCCAGCCCAGCAACAAACGCGCCTGCACATAGACTGTAATTACGTCCAATTGAAAGCCGAAATGAACGAACCTGATAATGCAGTCAAGAAGACTAGTGCACTCAGTCCTTTAGACAATCGAGAAAACCTCTTCACAACCGGATTTGAAAGCACGTTCTGCCAATTCATAGTGCTGAACCCGCTCCACGAGCCACCCCTAGCGTATCTCCAATCTTTAATCGCCGCTAATCCAGTTCCGAGCATCCCTGCGTACAGCACCACGGCCGTTCCGAGATGAGCTGCCAGACGGTACTGAGAAACACGGGGTACTGCGCCCGGCATATCCATGATGGAGTCTTCCAAACCTGATTTCACCATGTACCATCCAAGGAAACCCTGGAAACCGAGGAGCAGTGCCATGCCCGTCAGTTGGATCGGCATCGAGGTAGTGAGCTTCTTCCGGAGACCAAAATAAGCCAGAGGGACCACAAATGTGATGCCGATAAGGCGCCCAAGTACGCGGTGACCCCATTCCATGTAAAAAATGTTCTTGAATTCATCGAGGGTAATGGAATGATTGAGACTGTGGTGCGTTCACGAGATGATCCAAGGAGCAGACATGAAAAGGATGCTCACAGTTTAAATTCAGGTGTAGCCTTGTACTTCTCGAATTCAACGCTCCAGTCCTCCGCATTCATAGGTGGAATGATGCCCGTGATGGGTTTCCATTCTGTGATGCTCAGCCCTGATTCTGTGAGACGCGTTACTCCACCCACTACAATCACCGCAAAAACCATTGCCGATGAGAATAAGAGCCAGCGCCCGACTGCTGGTGGAGCAAGCACAGGTAATTGTGATGCCTGTGCAGCGCCATGAAAGGCGTTCGCAGAGAAGAATTGAGGTTTAAGGGAATGAGGAACAGCTGGCTTGCGCTGCGCGACGACTGAATAACACCTCCGGTAGAGCCATGAGTTATAGAGAGGTGAACTTGTGACTTCCGAAGCAAGGCATGACTTGGGCACTGTTCTTCTGGAAAAGTTGACTGGAGCAGTTGAAAATGCACGCGAAGCCCGTAAGCCAAGATGGGCTCTTGGACGCAGCAAAGCGTTTACCAAGCTCAGCTGCATAGGAGGCCTCAAGCTTCAAGCCCAGTACCTGGACTGGTTAATGCGAATATTTAATGTATGTATGCGGTACTGAAGGACACTGACCTATGGCTTGACAAACTCTGAGAAATGAATACGTCAATCGAATTTATGCACAGCCACAATATGCTCGCCGTTCTCCCGTCCACACCACCACCATGTTAACCTTAAGGAGGGGACTGGCAGCATCACGAGCCTTCCGGAGGTTTTCAACTAAGCCCCATCTGATTCCGCCAGCCAACCTTACTGAGGGAGAGAAGCTAATATATGACAAATTGACCGACAAGTTTTTGCCAAGTGAGCTAGACGTGCAAGACATCTCAGGTGCGACTTTTTTGCCATTCACATAGCTCACAATTAGATTGGTCGATCTTACTGATAATATTAGGAGGCTGTGGTGATTTCTATGCCATCAAAATAGCAAGTGAAGCTTTTAAAGGCCTTTCAACCTTGAACCAGCATAGACTTGTAACACGAGTACTGAAACAAGAAATTGAAGGAATTCATGGGTTACAGGTCAGTCAGGCGTCGTCATCATTATCAGAGGTTTACTGACACACGATCTGATCCCTAGGTCAAGACCATCTCATCAGAATCAGAATCATAACTTGGGCGGATAGTGCTTCTTCGGACACATACCCGTTTGTGTGGTACATACGTATACAAGGTGTTGACGGCATTTTATTTCATTTTAGCCCTAGAAAAATCTCGTCACCGAGAATGATTGCCTTTCAAGTCACACATGCTACACTGCTATGGAAGTCTACATCGGAGCGCTCGTTGCACCGCATCTCTCAAGAAGCAACGGGGTATTGAAATTACTCAGTCTAGAACAGTGGTGAAGCGGTCACTTGACACACCTCCTTATGGCCGTTTTGTAAGAGTTAGAAGCGAGATGGCTTCGCGATTGTAGATTTCGCGATTTGGGTCGTCCCCCACCTTGTGAACACTTGTTATCAACCCGTTGTCAGATTCGAGAAGTCAAAGAAGACTCGTACCTCTTCCCAACTGAATTTCTTCTTCAACATTGTGAAGAACCGTTTATCTGCCTGGGCAGTGCTAGTACGGACATTTCATCAAATTACGGATCTGACGCTCACCTTACGTCTCTTTTTGTAACAAAATAAAATTTCTGTACTGCCATTAACAGCCATCTCTGATAAGGTCTGGACCAGAAGAGGGAAAGCAGGCTCAAAGTAGACACAATCTGCTGCAAGGATCAGTTCAGGAAGAGGAATGTCCGAGGGCGGTGTCTCTCCCCTGTATGGAGTCAGTGCACAGCCCTTTACACAAGTCAAGATTATCTCACCAATTGAGTTCGCGAACGGAGACACAGGACTGCAAATTGTTCAATGACACATTTTGTTGCATGATACCCAGCAACGGGCTGGAAGAATTATTGCTTCACTAGCTGAAATAAACAATAAGGGACGAACGCTTGATCAGTGATCCAAACTGTACCACCGAGTGCGCCTGCTACAAGACCAACTAATCCCGTTCCACTGCCAACTTCTACAATATTCTTGCCTTGAAGATACTCGACGCCTCGAAATGCGATGTAATTTGATAAGACCTGCATTGCATCAAATGTCTCGCTCTAGCATTAAAAAAAAGAACCCACCTCACCAGCCGGCCAAGCAATGCCACCACAGCCATGAGACGCATCAACCTTGAGTGATATCGACACCAGCGGAGAGTCCACAGGAAATGTCAATCTGATCGTCTCACCGAGGATAGATCGTGGCTGCGAAGGTACGACAACAGTATCTTCATCATCTCGAGCGAAGTCGCTGGCGTCGGTCCTGAGATGTCGCAAGGGATCTGATATGTCAAGGGCTTCGTCTAGGGCAATCTCGTTTAAACGAGTCGTTGCTGATTCGGGTGGACTCTCGAATAGCAGCGATGTGGGTTGGGTTGTAGCCATCATAACTGCCCAAGATGATACGTAAAGTTAGATATTCGGCTACGATTTGAACCTTGAGCTTGACCCTGACGAACGTTATGATATCTTACAGAAACAGTCACGGTCAGGATCGTCTGTCAGGTGACACGTAGAATGATATTCAAGTTGTCGGTCCTGATTTGGTCCTGATTTAGGTTCCCGCGGTCCTGCTGTTTAAATTTCAAGTTTGTTGAACATTGTGTGACCGCTGGCACCAACTTGAAGACTATCCGGTGAACATGGATCCGCTACATAGTAGTACGGGTCACCGTCATGCAGCAGCTAATTATGAACCTTTTCCTCGAACTTCCTGCAACGTTCATCAGCTCGCTGTCTACTTTGATGACCGGACTCACGGGAACAGACCAAAGTGAGTAATCTACGCACGCGATCATCATCCAGGAACCAACGTGATTGGCATCAGAGCACGAAGCCATGCAATTATAAGTCATCACAAGTCGGTGTTACGCCAGTGCCGCAACTACTAGACAATTTGGGAGTCGCTTCGGCAAGATGCGTTTCCTCAGTGGCTTGGCCGAACAATTATTGATACCTCTATTGATAGCGTTCCGATCCTCTTCATTCCCTGCTTTCATGACATTCGCAGAGATGCAGTCACCTCATGCAGACAATCTCGCACCTCTCCCTGTCTTTTCTCGGCGGAAGACACCTAGGTTACGGGGACCACGCCCATGCAGCTGGCTCCAAACGGGGATAGCAAGAGAAGAAATTGAAGGGAACTGGTCATGGACACATCGGCAGGCCGACCTGTCCAGAGTATCAACAATATGCTCCCACACCTCTAGCGACTCTACTTCATCCAATCAGTCCAGTATCACTTCCTCGTCCTCGTCCAGCGCATCGTCATATAATGATGATACACCAATTTCGACATGTGACATATCGTCGCGCAGACATAAACGTCGCTCTCGACGGCAGAGACCATCTGGTCCGCGCCCTCCCTCCCGTCCACATTCCCCCAGTTCTCCCATGCGACCCCTACTTTCTATCAATACGTCAGTATCACCCCCCGTTCCCCTTGAGGACCCTGTCCTTCCGCTGCCCCTGGCAGAGTTCCCACATATAGCACCGACTGAACCTACGACACCCGTGCCTCTGTTACCCCCAGCGATTACGTTTTCACCTTCAGATTTACTTGATTGGGATGCAATATTTGAGGTATTGGCTTTGGAAAGCATACCATAGTTTGAGCTTGGAGGTACAGTTCATTACCAGCATCGTAACGACAAGCAAAGAGGCTGACTGCTTCGTTGGATAGCATTTTAGACCACAGATTCTCGGACTCATGTAGCATACTTACACTCTTATTGACACACGGACACTCCATTTTACAATCTCATGAATTAGTCTTTCTTGCAATCTAATAGGTGGCTCGTGGTGCTTTCTCTTTTACATGATCTCTCTTCCACGTTTCTTTTGACGAGAACGTGGGCGTTGACCAAAATTTGTACATTATAACATGGACTCGGATGTGTAAATCAAAAGGAACGAATACGATCGTCTTTCTAAATATTGGTGTGCCTAGCGGGAGACTAAATAACTTGCGGAAGACCATGACGCTTTTAATAACGACTCAGGTCCTGAACTAACTATAGTACCAATAGTACTAATAGCTACCAGCAGCTCATGGCTTCAACACTAGATTGAATATATTACAACACAAATAATTGAACTTAAGCTTGAATTAACCGAGTCAACCGAGTCAGGGAAAACACGGGGCGCAGCCGGTGGTGCTGCGCCCAGTATTTTAATCCCCCATACTATAAGTCAGACGTGAATACGTCACTGGCCAATGCCAGGAATTACAAGTGTACGATGTCTCCTTCGGTGTTATCCCATGGTGTCGCCACTCGATTAAATATATAACTCACCATAGCCAGTTGAAAGTGAATATGTTAAAATGCATAGCAAACGCTGGGCGCAGCGCCATTGCGCCCCGTATTTGTCTTGGGCCCTGCTGCGAGTCAGGTACAAATCCCTGGCCAACGGAAGTGCAGGTTTGTCTGCTATTCATAAATTAATATGGGACTATACAACGATATTGATCACATATGAGGCCTTGAGGTGTGAGCCCTGGGGGTGAGGACACCATGAGGTGTGAAAAGTAAATCACGGTGGACTGTCGGGAATATCTGAGAGGTAAGTGGCTGCGCTGTATGGAAGAGACAACGGGATTCAAAATTTAAATAGATATGCGAGGCAGGAGACGTGCGAGAGGATATGAGGCACAACCAGGGTGCAGTCAGTGAGAGACGTGGAGTTGAAGCGGTAAGTGACATCTATGCTGTGAGAAAGTGGCGGCGCCACCGGTGAGCGCTGGTCTGAACGCACGTGACTTAGTCATTTTGACAATTGTAGCCTGAACATAGATGCGGCCAAATAAAAATTCATTCATCCTATAGAGCTCGGGATTTGAGTCGGGAATATGTCAGATTATTCTAGGCAACGAAATTGTAATTGATATAGGGATGAGGGAAAATCGTGGGGAAAGTGCCCAGACTCCAATCAATTTCAGGGAAGTCTGTGTACACGGGAGACTGAATTACAATTTTTTTTTTTTTTTTTTTTGATTCCATTTCTGTCCTTTGCAGAGCGGAGCTCTATGTAGGACAATTCTGTCTGGTCTAATCTAATCTAAACTATTGGGACCCCTTGTGTCCCTTGTAGTACCGGGTGCGCGAATGCCCTGGTGTGAGGCGTGCCTCCACCAGTCCGCCGTTCCCGCCGGCCGTTTTAGACGCGCCACCCATTTGAATTACAAATTAATACCGGGCCACAGGATGATCAATGAACGTTAACAACGGTCTCATGGCGAGGATGCTATTAGCACCTGCTCATAGACATCAATATGTACATACCAAGTACACAGAGCAGACATTGAAATTAGACTGTGGCAGGTCCCCCCAGGTAGAAGCCCGTGCGCAGCTTACTAGCAGACTTTGGAATCATGGTAACTGCGCACTGGCACAAAGTATCATCGTGGGAATGGCTCACCCGCCAAAGTACTAGTGCGTACACTGGCAAATCTTCAGGCTTCGGCTACAATCTCTATTTCGAGAGACCACTGGATTTATTGCATGCAATCTTTAGCACGGTCCAGAGTGGAGTTTCACTGCCTTGCATCTGAGGCTATTACTTATATATAGCCTTGATGTTATCAGCCCGTACTATCGACGCCACAGAGACTGCTTACTGAAAATGCGTCAGCCGCTGGCTGGGTTACTCTTGATGCTGCGATAGATTGAATACTTACATATAGATCTCCTCTGATAGTTATCTGTAAAACAACGACACGATTGTCATGTTAAGCGTTAACAGTATGTGAGCAGTTCTCATGTGCGAAAAACGAGTGCTACAGAGCGACTGCGACCAGGAGTCGGTTGGAGGTATGATGAAGAGGGAACCACTGTCTTCCTCCTATTTTTTTCCGGGTATGTATGCCTAAGGAAGAAGGCCGCAGTGGCGCAGCCCTTCCTCATAAGACTGGGAACTCGTGTACTTGATGGAGTCCATCCTTGTTATGGCAGTTGCACTGTTTCAAAGCCAATCGGGACTCGGCAATTGAATTTCAAAAGTCACGTGCAAGCTCATCCTTGATCCGTGGTGTGACTTAAGTTTTGGCCACCAGTACCGCATCTTTCAAGCTCAAGGTTTGACGACTGACTCAGAGAGACTAGCTACGTTTGACTTGGTCTTCCCGGCTTTTGCAGGATCCCATAAGCATTTTTTTGTTCACAAAAACACAGGATCTTCCCTAAACTTTCACGTCACGGAATCCGTCTAGGTTCCAGTGTCCACGTCATACTGAACTCCTGGCGCTCGGCATCGCATATAGTTGCGCACAGGAGGAGTCGCCGCCACCATCATCATGTTTGCCTGAGGCTTGTTGGAGACTGTTAGCTCCGAACCTTCATGCCTCTGCCTCGTGGTTTCATTCAACCCCGCTCAGAGCCTCGAGGCATCCTCAGGCTTCTGATGCACCCCTGAAACAGATCTCAATGATTTTTCCGGTCCCTCATCGATATGGAATGCTTTGGCTTCTCTTTAATTTACCGCGTTTTGAACTTTTCCATCTCCTCTGAGAACGGAAGGGGTGTACGGGTTGATAAGGGAGAGCGGGATGGTGCATCTCTGGTGCATACCCTGCACGTGTTATCTCTGATCGATAAGATCTATGCACAGGACCCCGACGTTTTGGCTCAAACATACCAAATATGCGAAGTCGGGAGGACATTCAAAGCTATTTTTGCAAAAGAGTGAGTTTTTCGCATTGCCAATCTTGTAAAATACAGTAATTCTTTAGACGCCCGAGGTATTCCGATCATCGGAATGGGTCTCCTGGCATTGCTTTGGGCTCCAGGTGAGCTGTCTGTCATGGAACATTGTTGCCCAAATCGTCCTCAACCTTGGCAAGATAACTAGTGCAAGCGTTGCAAGAAGAATTTATATAAATTTTGCACAAGCCTCGTCCAGGCTAGTCTCTCCTTACTGCGAGTCACCGTGGGATTCAGATACTTGAGATAGTGACAATCGTTTCAACTTGCCTTCGAATTTTTATGCCTCACTATTCTCTTTTGTGTCTCAGGCCATATTTCTAGCAACATTGCAGCCACGAACTCACTTACTGTCCGCGATTTTTTGATATCAACTCCACCAAACAACCTCTCTTTATATCACAGTATGTCAGTATCTGATCGCAACCCATCACAACCGACAAATCATCTCCCCTAAAGCACAACTATGGTTTACTATGCGTACGTCGATGACGTACGTGCAAGAACCACTCTTCAATGCCTGTGATACCACACTGAACCTTTTTTTAGATCAGCGACGGCTCCTCCCCACGATACATTGCTGTTTTCGCCAGCCGTGCAGTCGCCGATGAGTGGTGGCGTGGCGTGTCCACTTCCGCCAGTACGAAGTACTCGGACAGTATCAGACGTGTTGCCCCCCAGTTCTTTACCCACGACGTCAGCAAAGCCAGTGCTGCCTCCCATCACCGACACCCAAGTTGCATCTAGTTTTTTTGGCAAAGTGTTTTTCAGGCTACTGCCAAGTGATGTCGGATTTAGTGTCATTCCGATTCTAGATCTCGTGGATCATGTTAGCGGGAACTTGTGAGTCATTTTGTTGTAGGTTCTTTCATAACTGCTCACAACGATCATGTTAAAGATTTTTCATCCGCTCCAAAGTCTCTCCTAACGAGTATTGGTACTGTCCTGGATCGTCGACAGGCAACGTCACGCCTAACTCCAAAGTCTATGTATCGTGTACTGAGCGGACCCGCTTCCGGGTCCGCCTCATCAACGAACGCAAGGACACTACAGGGACCATCATGATTGGCTCTGACGACATCGCTATTACCTTAACTTCCACCAACCTATCCATCAGAGTCTCCCGCAGCGGCCATTTGATCGTTTCGAAAAACCCTGAGCTAGGGCTGAAGTTCAGTTATTTTGTGAACGGATTCGGGGTGGCGACTCCTTTGCTGGACAACGAGGGTCATCGCGAGAATGTAAAAGAACTCTTCAAGACGGATGATGGGGAAGAGTGGGAACTCGCTTGAACTGGTGTCATTTGATGTTGACAAAACACTTGCATATGCACGCGAAGTTGGCTTTTACTCTTATGATAGAAGCTACGTCAACTCGTTCTGCAAGTACAAAAGCATGCCAGATGATGACATCATCTGGTAGATATTTCTGGCAGTCATAATCTTGTGATGCTAAAAGCAAATATCTGGCTCAACTAATGGGACTTTCAAGTTGAGCAACTTGACTTTATTCAAATGTAAATACACTCGGGAGCGCAGGTGAGAAACTCATAACGTGGTCACTCGCAGACATTACAATATTGGGCGGCTGTTGATTCAAGTCTGACGCGGCACATTGAAGTCCTGGACAGACTGTCGGTGGTGGTGCAGAAGGTGCGTTCGAGAAGCGGTTGGGGTTAATACTGATACTGATGACATAGATAGATATCTTGCGACACATGGGTGCTGTCCACCGTCGAATTTCAGTGGCACGAGGAATGTCGGCAAACCACTTACACAGCTTAGAGTGCCACGCGCTACGGTTCAGAGGGCTGGTGAATGGTAATAACAAGTTCTGACTGTCAGCAGTGGAGTGCTGATTATTCGATCGATGGCATCTCGGTTGACGGTTAAGTATCCGCTAGGACCTGCACCTCTTCGTCGGACGCGTAATGCCGGGTCAGGACTCAGGTACGTTTAGGCGCCTCGGATATGATGGAAATGATGACATTTTTTTTTTTTTGTCAATCAATTGATAAAGATCAGCAGACAGACAGACAGAGCCAAATTGTGGTACGGTCTGGGTGGCTCCGGGTTTGTGCAGCAGTGTGCACCGGGTAACTATACCACCATGTTGGTGTTACTCATACTCACGATATTATAATCAGGCGGCTACAGGCAACAGGAGTAGATACACGCGGACGATCGGTACATGTTTTCCTTGTCCATATCTAATTCTTCCGATGAAACGCCTCCTAGCAATGATGGAAGACATGGCTGTAGTCAACTAAAATTCTAGTCAAACTCTATGTCACTGCACACCTGTTGTCTCTCTTCTGTTGTTCCGACTCGGACTCCTCTCAAAGGGTGCCGTTCCGTGTTTCGCGTTCTGCCTCAGATCACGACGAACGAAGCCACGATCCTTTATTGGTCTACCAAGGGACACCGTGCCAAGACGAAAGACAAAGAGCCTAAGTCGAGGCATTATTTGGATGCTACAGAGGATGACAACCTGGACCAGGTTCAATTCGAATGTTTCAGATCTGATTATCTGCCGGCCTGACTCGGAGTCTTTATATACATATAACTGTCTCATGTAAAGCTGCTATAATTACAAGGTTGTTGTCTTGGTCTTGTTTACGGATTTTGTCCGACCTCCACGTAGCTTCCGTTTTTCTCGCATTGATTCCGCCATCGATCCAGTTGTAAGATCAGCTAGTCACGAGAGTTGAACGTGTACCAGAAAGTTGGATAGACCCGGCCGGACCCAGCCGGACTGAGCCGTCATTTCCAAATTCTTAATCTTTCTTAGACATTCTGCCAACGTTCCGCTGAGTTCTGCTTGTCGTATACTTGCCTAAACCTTGAGCAGGGAACACGCCTACACCATGCTAAACTTGCTAAACTAGCCAATGCTACTCTTATTTTAAGGAATTGAAGAACATAGCATCGTACAGGATCCGCCACCATCAACACTGTCTATGACCGTGACTGTCCATGTGTTGACCTCGGGGCTCGAGGGAGTTTTGGGACAGTTGGGAGGCTTTTAACGGCGCCTCCAGTGCTGTGGCGTCATGGCTCCACCGTGTCTCTGCCAAGTGGATCAAGGCCAACCCCAGATTTTCATCTCAGCTGGTATCTTCGGTGGTGATCTGAACTATCGGCGCCCTCTTTCCGGTCACGCACGAGGCCAGGTACAGTGCACTTGCGATGCCGCGGCCAGGTCTTCGTGGAAGAGACCACAACCTAGTTTGAATTGTACCGATATTGCAATCCGGACCATAGTTCCTATCTTCCCACAACCCTCGAGGTTATCATCAGTAAACCGGTGAGTTCTTGCTGGGGATTATGCTGATTATGGTGCTTTTACATGGTCATATATTGCTTTATATCACTTTATATTACAATGTGACGAAAACCTTTCCTATATATTACGATATATAACGATATATGACGATATCTTCTTCTCACAGGTTCTCTGATGCCATGGTGCACAAGCTTACGATAGATACTACTTAAAGCCACTCCAGCAGTATAAAAGTGACTTCCATTTTGCTCCCTGAGACTTCCACTTCCCCAGCGCTTCCTTTATTATTGTTACAAAACATGGCATACTCCCCATACGACGCCTATGACTCCTACGACGACTACGACTCCTACAGCCGTCCTCGCAAGCAGTCGTTTGGATACAGAGCGACCACTCCTGTCGGTGGCTACCCATACGATCCACGGTTGGGAGCATCGTACAGTGAGCCAATGATGCGCGGAGAGGTGCCACACTACTTATTCATGTTCGTTGTCATTTGCTCATGTTTGATTGTGAAAGCGCTACTCTTCGTCAGCCTACCCGATGTACCCGTCCAGCCGTAGCATGTACCGGACACCCAATCACAGTGCGAATTATCTTCGTAAGTCTGGAACTTGGACGCATTCAGACAGGCTCTGACCTTTATTAGCGTATGATGATATGGACTACCGTGCTGGGACTCCCGGCCTCTATCCCCCTGTCGTGCAACCCTTAGCAATGGGTAGACCGCGCCGGGCATCATCAGTATCTTACTCACCGAGGCCGCCAGCATTCGGAGACGCCTTCCGCAGAAATAGCCCCCCTCAGGTTAGATTCAAGCGTAAGGGTGCCTTCCGGAGCGGAATCACCCTTGGTGAAGCACAAGCCAATGTTCGATTGGCTGGACACGACTCATACACCTTCAATGACCTCGGTGTTGATCACCGAGGCAAGATCTATGTGAAGATGTCGGTGAGTACAGTATGGATCTGATCTCCAGCTAAAGCCTCAATTGTCCATCTCAAAGTGGCCTGGATATTCACCACTCAATTACGAGATACCTGTTGATGGCTATGGGGGTCTCATCGACCTTCAATCGTTGACACGCAGAATCGGACGTGCGGTTTCACATTATCTTCAGGTGATTATTCAATGGTATCTTTTCAGTATAGAGATTTCTCATGCACTATGTACATAGGCCAACATCATCCCTATACCATGGGATCGTATCGAGCTATCGCACATGGAAGAAGTCAGCATGGGTACATGGCATCTCAAGATGACAACAAATTGAACAATATCCTGTCCCGTGCGTAACCGCCTGCAGCGAGAATCTCTCAGCGTACTTTATTATATATCTGTCCTTGATAATCTATTCATACTGCAGCTACACTCGGGGATGCCTGGTGTATCATCATCTCTGCGCCTTTCGAGCCGTGCTCAGTTGTACAACAGATCAAACCATGTGTGTATCATATTACGTCACGAATCTTACGAACTTTTACGAGGTGTCGTCTATGTATTGGAAGGAAATGCATGTTATACACCACCAAACGCAACAAGATATGTCCGCAGTTACACAAGTGCCGATCGCCGCTTCCGCCTCCTGTTGGACTCTCCCTTCTGACGAGGCGAGCTGCGAATACCAAGGGCACGTTTCACTTTAGTCATGAATGGTAGGTGGGTTTCCCTGTCCCTTCCCTATCACAAGATATGGCAACAAGCAACGGAAATGAAGACACGTAGACTAACCATGGGACGAAGTTCTTGCTTCGCATGCTTCTTGCCTTGTCTGGATGTCCTGGGATTGGAAAGTGCCGCGTCTGTAGAAGGGCCACGGGTACATTAAACTCGGCACATATCGGTAATTGCCTAAGTGACAAACTTACTCTTGTCTCTAGTAAAGAAGCGCAATTTGCGGCGAGCAGGTATACGATTCCGTTCACGGTGATGTTCATTACTCTGGAAAGGATTCATATTGATTGCAAGTGATCGATATATGGTAAAGTTTTGGTAGAGGGCAAAGGGTCACGGTTAAATCTTGCGGAACTTATGGAACGTAGTTGTTATGTACTATTCAGGAGCTCCACCATGGGAATGATGTGGTTGTCTACGGTGGATAAGTGGAACTTGCATCGTCATGATATCCATCGGTGAGGTGATTTGCGCCCGCCCGTGGGGCTGAGGGCTGTCATGGGTTGTCATCTTGTGCTGCGGCTGATATGATGCCAGATTTACGGCTTGTTTGTGATTATTTGTAGTAAGAATGATTTCATATCAAAGGCTTTCTGATCTGTTCTGATCGTTCGCGCAGGAGATTCGAGAAACCGCGGTGATCATCTGCATGTTTTCAGATGAGGATATAACCCTCGTTCATGCAGTGCAGAAGCAATATGCTTCCCTGAACCTCAAGTTACCGACCGGAACTTTCACGATTCTAGCTGCAATCGCCTTGATTTCGTCTGATTCTTTATCAATTCAGCCAAAGATCATCGGATTAGCTACGGGATGCAAGTGCCTTCCAAAGGACAAGCTTCCACTGCAAGGCGAGGCTGTGCACGACAGTCATGCAGAAGTTCTCGCTCGTCGCTGCGCCATTCGCTGGTTGATCGAAGAGATCGGTAGGGCGGCCTCTGGTGGATCGCATTGGCATTCTGCGTGGATAACAAAAATGGCAGATGATCGCTATCGTCTTAAAGACGGCGTCTACATGATCATGTATATATCGACACTTCCTTGTGAGAAGCACTAGCCTTGTTTGTTGCGCGTGTCTCATTTCAACCGATCAATGTCAAGGCGGAGACGCTTCTATGCGGTTCCTCGCTACTTTCCAAGATGAGGAGATGGCGGCACTGAAGGACTCTGCAGTGTTCCCACCTTTGGCCCCCGATGTTGCGTCCAGAGGGCGGGATAATTACTCCCTTTTTGGTGTTCTCCGTACGAAGCCTGGGCGTGCGGACTCTCCTCAGACATTGTCGTTGTCGTGCAGCGACAAAATAGCACGCTGGAACGTACTCGGAATACAAGGGGCTTTAGGCTCAGCCTTTTTTCACCCGATCTATTTGAAAAAGATAATCATCGGCGAAGTCCCGCTAGATCTGCACGACGTCGTGAAGTCTGATTGTGAACGAGCGTTCTGGGGGCGCCTGCAAGAAATAGATGGTGCATATGTTGTTCGATCATAGAGTAATGCTTACGATCGTGACATATCTTGCACAGGCCTTTCCGAGGGATACAAATTGAGTCGGCCGGAAGTCCAGTTTACGTCGGTTGGGTTCATCCATTCAAGATCAGTGCAAGAACATTCTTCTCCCGCTCAAAGATCGTGCAATGAATGTAGGTATATATTTATCTTGCATTGTCTCTCTTAAATGCTTTATCATCAGCTTTGACTTGGGTCGCAGACGCTGCGTCACCACATGAGGTACTGATAAATGGCCTCAAACGAGGCGTCTCTCCCAAACATCGCTACAAGACGATTTTCTGGTAAGCAAGCAGTTGATTAACTTTTTTGCAAACCATCTTATGCAACATTTTGGCAATTCAAAGGCCCAGGCTCTCAAAGGTCTCCTTGTTTCACCTATACAGAAAGACGAGGAGCATAGAGAACCTGCCACATGAAAGGTAAGGATCCAGAATAAAGAGGGGGCGATCCCTAGCACTCACAACTTGTTATGTAGTATCACAATGACATATTATCAAGCGAAGGAGAGCATGGCCCAGTACCAGATGGCAAAAAACTGTTTGCTAGGGGAAGGTCAGCCTTTTTCAGGGTGGATTCGAAGTGGAGCTCGATGGGAGAGCTTCGGTACTAGTAGCGATAACGGACAACAAAGTACTGACATTACGAATTAAACGCCAAAAAGAAAAGCAACGAAAGCGCATGTATGTAAGTAAGTGGAATACAACGTGATCAATAGCTGGGGTATATATTAAGAAACACAGCAAATTGTTATATGTGGCGTTCCGCGTTTCCAAAACACCCAGAGATACAAGGAAACTGGGCAACCGTTGACATTATGCCTATAGATCCTTATCCTTGTCAGAGGATTCGGCTTCTGCGAGCAGTTCATCAAGGGAGGTAGTTGGTAACGTCTGGGCCAATAATAATGGCGTCCCGACAAGTGATTCACCATCTGTAAATGTGGGGCTTGATCTGCCAGAGCGACTGTTGCCATTGTTATTGTTATTATTACTGCCGTCCGCAAGCTCCTTTCGAAGTGCCTCTAATTCGCGTTCGAATCTTCGAGGGAGAAAAGTCAGATTCTGTGCAAGGACCCTGAGTTGAGGATGCTTACTTGCGACCGAATACCTCGATGTAGAATCCGCCACCGTTCCACACGCTCACAGAGAATATAAACAAAAGGAATGCTCCACTCCACATAGGGCTATCATACAACAAGAACACCGCAGGTAGTTCTGTCAGGAGAGAGTATACTGAAGGAAAATCAACATCGCTGAGTCGTAACGTTGAACTTTACATACCAAGTTGCCCCGCCATGAATGAAGATTCACGGTACTTTGGAGGGACTGTCGACAAAGCTCGCCCAATGGCACTACGCTTGTCATTCAAAAGGAAAGAAAAGGACGTCGTTCGCTGGCCAGATGCAATCTTGCTTCGACGATCTACCAGTACAAATTTCCAATACATCAACTGCCAACAGATATCTGGATGTCCAGTCATGTCAGTCATCAAGATCATCAACGTGAAGCTTACATATAGCACCGCTCATAAGGAGAGCACGGACTGGATTGAGATACGGGAGTGCCTTCAGCGCGGGGAATCTGTCTTCTGCATTCGGATAGAAGTGCCTGTCCATAGTGATTAATAATTATATGGAGAAGAGCAACTATAACTGACCGGATCACCGTGAATGTAAAAGGTGCGTATATATGCACGAATAACGACGTGACCTTATCCGTGTCATGGAAAACAAGGCTGTTTCTCCAAGTGATAACAGCACTGGCGAGCGAGCCGTGTGATAAGCTATAACAAGCCATGAACAGCGCTGTATTTGATGGGAAGAACCACATGTAGATAAAGTTGAGGATCGTGGCGTAGTAGCAGAGATCGAACAGGAAATAATGCCATGACCGCTTCTTGTATTGGTAGGCACGAAGAGGAAGGAGATATAAGCCTTGCACTGTATATGCGATATGGATCCATCTGCATACAAAACATCAGTCACCACCGAACGCAAAGAACTTTCAAGGATGCATACTGGGGGGCTAAGCCAAAGAGCAACGCCGACACGAGGAGGGACATGACACTAAAGAAAAACGACACTTTATCACGAGTTCTCACTACCTTGGCGGAATGCCATGATTCCGCTAGATTTTGCATACGGAGCGAAACCTGTCATCGACGCGTTAAATCTTGATGAAAGCCACAGGCTCCGAACGTACCTTCAGCTTGAAATTTTTGATCTCGCGATCGAAATTCTCCGCCAGTACATCGCTTGATTGCACACGTTTCTTCAAGGCTTCCTCAGCTTTCGATTTCAACCTATCACTGTGCTTCTGTATCTGCCGCTGGAGTAAGTCCAGCCGAGAGTCAAAGAAGGTCTCCATCGTATCTATCATAAAAGTAGGTCAGATTTTGGGTAGCCATGACAAGACGATAGGGCAGAAGACTTGCCTAGCAAGGTAAAAGCGCCTGTCTCGTCTCGTATAAAGCGTTCGAAAGGTGCAGAAAAGTATCCTGCCCCGGTCACTGGCCCAGGAGACTCCATTCTTAAAGTTGGAGGCGGTGGCCTTGAAACCGTTGTGGAAGTCTGAAAATTGAATTTGCGAGTGCAAAACAAGCTTATACGGAGTGGCACTCTAAAGCAGTGGATGTTTGAAGCGCTTGTCAAAGGGCAGTGCGTCACACGCCGACATAAATGTATGCTTATGTCACCACGAGTAAGTTCTGCCTCTCATCGAGTCTCGACCTCTTTTGGATTCGACTCCGAAGTACACTCTTTAGTATGGACCTTTGGACCTCCGTAATAGTACTGTCGTTCCCGGTACCTGACTTAGCAGAGACCAGTACTAGTAACGTAGTGAGCCAATCAACTTTGTTTTATCGTTAGTCCGCGTCTAGGTAACTCTAAATCTTAACGAGAGGGTTCAGATAAATAACTCAGGTTTTATGGACGAGCACCAGAACAGGTATAGTCTGTCCAGTATATAGAATTCAAGACACAATCACGACAGGTAACGCGGTGCAATGCTCTATGTAGGTTACAGCAATTTGTTCACATCAATGAAAGGTCGCCAAACTTCTCTTTGTAACCTGGAAGCATTGCTCAAGCGAAATGAAATATAACACAATTCGATGAACGTACCAGGTACAGTCCATTTGCCTTTCTGGACCATGGTCTCGACTGCTTCCAGTATCCGTGGGTGGGCGTTGCCGACGTCCTCCACCTAAGCAAGCAAACAAACAAAATTAGAATATATTCCAAGACTAAGAGCAGAAGACGTACCGTCAAGTCTTCGAACGGACGGGCCTCTTCGATGTTAGCAAGCGTTGCCTGCAACTCCTTGAGTTCCACGTCAATTTGGGCGGCTGTCGCTTGGGCTTTCTCAACCTGCGTTGATCATGAAGACACTTAGTCATGACACCACAACCTTGAGCGAATAGAGGTCGTACCGCTTTGGCCTCGAAAGTTTCGATGGCTTTGACGTGGGCAGATACGTCGTATGTAACAACCTTGAACTCCTTCAACAGCTTCTCGGCTTCGTCGACAATTGCTTTGTTCTTCAAGACAGAGCGGTAGTGCGCGAGGTCAACAGTGGTGGGTTGAGATGCATATTGCGACTGGAGGCGTTGAGCATCCCCGTGCCGTTTGCGGAATGCCTGCAGAGCAGCGATGGTATCTGCAAATTCAGAACCTCTATCAGCCTAGCTGCAACTTTACAAGTTGAGGTTCATGCCTTTTCCGAGCCCAAGTGTCGAGTAAATGCGGGTGAAGTCCTGTTAGCGGAGAAACGAAGATGAGCGACGGCGCGACTCAGCACGAAAAAAAAACGAGACTTACAACCGCGGCTACTGCTGCTTTTGATGCCATGGTTTAGAGAAAGGCGGGAAATAATGCGAGCAGCTGGGACACTATAAAGGCACACGTTGGCTACCACGAATAATAATGCTGCAAAGGACGACTGAAACGAGCGGAGGCAAGGCCGGGAATTGCCGATCCCATTTATTCCGACTCTCGACGAAACTTGACGGACGCGTGCAAAGTCCAAGCTGTACAACAATGCTTCATTTATGGTCTCCTCTGCTTTACACAAAGGTTCTATTCCAAAATACTGCATTTAAGGTTCCCCGGAAGACACTGAGGTGAATCTGGCTTCGCTGCAGGCAGGCGCTCAATGATAGTCTCGTAAAAACTTGTGAAGTGTTCCGAACATTCAGCTCACAATGTTGAAGCAACCATCGAAGTCAGTGTGAGATCCAGATATCCAAGAAGCACGAGTACATGTAATACGACAGCACGGCCCGTTCAGATAAGACACATGAACTGGTCTCCCAATCACCTGACACCCTTATCTTGCGCCGCTGCCCTTATAAGAACGATACGTACAAACGACCTTCTCCTCGACCCTTTTTCCTCTGGAGCGTAGACGCAGATCGAGAGCAGTGGAGCTCGTGTGAGACAGAGAACCTGGGCTAACAACGTATTTGTGAGTCAAGTAACGCCCTTTCCTTGACCTAATTTAGATGTATGCAAACGCCCAGCGTGCACGAGTTATTGGATGGACGGGTTTACTTCTACCCTTCCTGTCGTCAAACCGTTTCGCGCTATGGGACCGTTGCCTAGCGTTCTCCTTACTGTCGCAGCGATTGTTTTGGCGTACAATTTCATTCAGTCGAGAAAGAGGCGTGTGACAACCTCGAATGTTGCTCATACGTCACCTGTGACCGAGAAAGATGGAAAGACAAACAAGAATAGGGAACCGGGCGGTATGTTTTAACGTTCCGGTACATGTGATGACGCTCACAAATTAATAGGATGGATCGCGGAAGAGTTTGATTATCCCGAAATAGATCCGTGCTCCTTCCCACTGATGGATGTGCGTCCAGTACCGTACAGACCATTCCGGTATGGTGAATATCAGTAAGTACTTTACCTGTCTCTTTGTTTCGTCTGCGATGCCCAAATGTTGGCGCACGAGTCTGCGTGCGTGTGTGGCACGTGGATACAATCCGCGAATATGATCTGTAGCATCATTTTATACTCCCCCGACCGTACTCATGGCTGATGAATTTTGTCATCTCTTGCGAATGCAGAATCACGATGGGTATTCGCACGATGCCTTGGAGTGAATGGATTGAACTGGACTCAACCTACCCACACTGGCAGCGGGTGCGCAAATTCCGCGTTCGCACGCGCGGGCATGACGCCGTGCGCGTTCTCCCCGCCCGAGAAGACGAATCTGTCAAGGTTCAGGGTGGCGCATGGGCAGGTATGTGTTATCTTCTTTGAACGGAAGGGTAGAATCTATGCTGATAAGCTACAGCAAAGGAGCTCGTGTATGAACTCGCAGAGTACCTTCCACGGCGATACCCCTCGAGTTTCCGGGTAACACGATTTCCGAACGGTGTACCAGGGCCGTCAATTGGTGGCGTATCGCTCGCTTGGGGACATCAACAGCCCGTGCAAATTATTGAAGCGGTTGAGACAGGAGATAAATTTGATTTAGGGGTGCTGGAGGGTCTGAATGGTGTTGAAATGGGCGAAGAGGCAATGAGGATTACTGCAGGGCTGTGAGTACCGTGTCACTATATCAGACATTCCTGACCTTCTGTTAGTATACAAGAAGACGTGGCACTCATGATCGAGGGTATAGGGTTTCTACACTACCTTGGTTAATAAATCTGAAAACGTTTGTTCACACAGGCACGGATGGCAAGTACTATTTCCAGGGAGGAGCGATCTGCATTCCAGGTAAGTGCAAACAGCGAACACGAAGATTGCACCTGACATCATCTTCTCAGGATTCTGGCGCATGCGGGACAAGATCGGAATGACCCTGGACGATATACATATTTCAGGAAACGTTCCACGGTGTAAGCCTGACCTATCATATTTTGGTTTTGTCCACGCTGATATCGGCCGCCGGGCGCAAAGTCAAAGAGAAACTGCAGATGAGCATGGAAAAGTTTTTCAGACGGATGCCGGTGGACAAGCCGGTTATTCGAAATAATTATTTTATGCAAGTATGTAAGCCATCGTCGCACGTGTCAGATGGCGACGTTGAGGCACGACTGGACGTGGAGGAAGAGTGCGCTTCCGATATTGATCCAGAAGAATTGGGTTGGTCAGAATCAACGAACGGACTGGAGGATGAATTTTCGCATGGACACGGACATGGTGCACTACCTGCACCGTACCTCGCGCCGTCAACACTACGACTACGATCGGAGAGGCAAACACTGCGTCGACTTCCTCGCACAGGAGCCATCGTTTTTGGGATTCGGACGTACCTGTTCAAGATCGAGGAACTGGCTCGGGAGCGAGGAGTGGCTGATCGGCTTGCAAGTGCCATAAGAAGTTGGCCTAACGATGTTGGGGTATACAAAGGGCGTAAAATGTATGGTGATATACTACTGAACTACTTAGATGAGTGCGCAGCAAGGGAAGGCGTGCAGGAGGAGGGACTTAAATACCCATATTGAGGTTAAGGGGTATAATAATATTTAAAAGGAATACTAGCACAGGGGAAGAAATGACGTGCGTCGGATCTTCTAAAAGTAGCAAATGATTGGGTTTATCGAGCGTTTATTAGAACTCCGATTCAAGTTCAATATAACACGAGACTACGTCAGACGTCGTCATTCCTCCTCTGACCTCACCTCAAGAAAAATTGGAGCAGATTACGCACGGGCCACAAAGGATACACCGGAGCTGTTGGCTTCGTGCCGAATATTCATTATATCGGTGAAATACTGTAAAAAAACTTTGTTGACCACCAAAAGCTCGTCATCATGTCCGCTACTCCACCTAAAAACGGTGATACATCCAGCTCCCCTGACGTCAGGCCACAACCCCCTCTTGCAAGGCAGACTAGATCTGATTTTGACCTCGAGCCTAATCCATTCGAGCAATCCTTTTCTCGTCCATCCCATGTCCGCCATTCCCCTCCATCCAAACGTGATTCATCTAGTCCAGTATCTCTACATGACAGACCACCCTCTGCTGCTTCAAATAAAAATTCAAAGGATGGTAGGTCTACTTCTCCGAGACCAGTACTACCCCCTTTGGCAGCCATAGCATCTCCCACTACAGATCAATCTTATGGCTGGCAATTTTCTTCATCTCTTGCAAACTCCCTTCGCGCTGGTCCACTCTCCCCCGCCATGCTAGCCGGCCCACAGCAGGGTTCAGACTCCGCATCCCATTTGCCTTTTGACACCTCTTTCCGAACCGGTTTGACACCCCGCACCGGTCTTACACCCCGCACAGGATTGACACCAGGCACCGGCTTGACACCCCTGGTAGGGGGTCCTGTCTCTTTCCCCCCTCCGTCCCCAAATACTGCCGCTTTTTTGGCGCTTATGAATAATAATGCGGGCGCTAATTCAAACGCGACTATAACACCAAATACCCTTAGCGCAATTACAGGTGTTCTTAACTCCTCTTCAGCGCAATATAGTTCTGTCACACATGCTCCCACAACTAGTTCTCACCTATCCACATCCGTCACTGCTAATCAGGAAAACAGTGATCCTCCTTACCTCAGCGCATCCTCTGCCGCAAGCACGGCTGCAAATGGTTTATATTTGCTTTCTCAAGCTCATCAGGAGCTTACGAAACGTGAAGAGGCACAGGCACGTGCCAACAATGTTGCAAATGCAACTAACGGAAGACGTGGTGTAAAGCGCAAATCGTACGATCAAGCAAGTCCACCACCCCAACCTGCTCCCACAGCCCGTGCCCAATCTCAGCAGCAACATACTTCTCCCGTTAAGCGCGCACGCGCTAACACTGTAACCAGTGTCAGCACCAATGGTCGTGGTAAAGCATCTACAGATGATGAGGAGGACGAGGAGGACGAGGATGATGACGACCTACCACCCTCTCACAATGCTGGTGGGCGGAAGCAGACAAGGAAGCCCGAAACAGAGGAAGAGAAGAGACGTAACTTCCTCGAACGAAATAGACAAGGTTTGCCTTTCTTTAGATTTCCTCTTCAGGTTACTGAGCTGCCGTGTAGCCGCCCTAAAGTGTCGACAGCGCAAAAAGGCATGGCTTGCATCATTGCAGGCCAAGGTCGAGTATCTCCAGACGGAGAACGAGCGGCTGACATCCGCTCTTGTCTCATCGCGCGAGGAGATCTCGCGGTTATCTGCCCTCGTTGGAGGTGCCGTCATTGGACCAGGGGGACCGACTGTCGGTCCAGGAGTGGGCCCACCACCAGTAGCGGTCAATGGCGTGGTCACGAATGGCCAACCTATCAGCATGAACATGAATCTTGTTGCCAAGGGCGCACCCGCCACCTCTGGCCGCGCGAGCTATGGGTACTAAATGCCTTGAAGCTCCAGCCGTCCTTCGATCTACTATTCGTTTCATGATGTGTTGCGCTACACGTTGAGTCGGCACCGCTCATTACGAATATGCACCGCGTAGGATGTAGGATTGTCGTTATCTTTATTTTTGCATCATCGTTGACACACGAGAAAGATATCACTGCGTCTCTTTCTCTTGCATAGTCCTTGCATCATCCCTAGCATTCTATTTCTCACTAGTCTCTACCTACCGCCCGCGGTGCCATCGCTTGCATTGGCACCACTTCGACGTCGTCCTCGGCACAGCTTAGCACATTGCCATACCCCTTATCTCGACCTCTCGACCTAAACACTCCGCAGAAGAAAATACAAATTGTATCCCTCGCTTGTACGTTGTGAAGTAGGCAATATATCATACATACGTCATACATTTGTACATCCTGACCTGAATACATACAGAGGCATCGGCGCGCGCACATGAAATGCGCTGCCCTCGGTTGTATAACAAGTCGGGAAAATATCAAGGGATGAAATCATTGTCATTTTTGTCCCAGACGCAAAACACCTCCGTCGTTCGACTGATCCACTGTGCAACCAGGTACACAGATGCATATTGATATTACTGTGCCGCGTAAGTCCACATATCGGACAATGTGCCAGCATGTACCGCATGTCCGCAAACTTCCGACAGTTATCACATGGTATCCGCGTCCATCCATCAATATTCCATTCTTACAGCCTGGCGGCAGTTCGGTCCCCAGGATTTAAGAAATGATTACCAGTGAGTCGGTCATTTACTACCCTGTGGGGGGAACTATCACAATCGCAGAACCTCATTATCGACGCTCCTTCGTCGATAATTCTCTCTGGTCTGATTGCGCCCATATTCGATAGGCCGTGGACCCTGAGGCCTCGAGGCCTGGTGGCGCGATCGCTTCATGCGGATTGTGACGAGAAGTTGTCGCGAGCTACCCTATCTGCCAGTTGTGTTGGACGTACGTACATCCTCCGCTAAGCGCGCGTTTGTGACATAGTACGTTTCACCGCACTTCCTGCCCCTCCCCCAAGTCAGCGTGACGGTGGTGACTATCCAATCTGAGGCAGGTTCGGATACGTGGCCGGGTATTGGATTCTGTCGGCCAAACAGATAAGGCGGATAAGGAATTTATTTTATGTAAAAACTACTCATTTTCCATGCATTTGCTAGATCTTCGAGTGGAAGATTCTAAAGCGGGCAAGGAACACATGGACCGTCGTGAAGGAAGTGAAAACAAACGTAGTAGCGTTGATTGAATCAATGTTACGACGTCGAGGAGCCCAACATCCGCCGTACAGTTATCGCTCTTCGCTATAGCGCTCATACCACGTGCACGCTTTTGCGATGAGAAATAACATGTCGTGCGAGGCATGGGGCGGCGGACATATTTAGGTCCGTTTGCGCCTCCCTCTTTTTTCGAGGCATCCTGGGCTATCGCTGACGGCCTCTGCACTCAGCATGTTTTGACTCGGGCCACTGCGCCGCCGGCCCGCCAGGAGCCTATATACAGACTTCTCGCGATTCGTGCTTTCGGGCCGCGGCATACAGTCATATTCACATCTAGTTGACAGTGTGATAAGGACACGGACAGACCTACCACCTGCTGATGACGCAGCTAACGTACCTGCAACTACAGCCGGCGGGGCGACTGGCGCCGAATATGGACCACCATGAATATGTCTCCCTGTCCTGGTGAAACACAGGCAGCTCTCGCCAAGACCTCCCACACTGTGTCACCGATATCTCTGAAGATACGCAGATTCCGATCTTCGTGAGCTTTTCGATACGTTCGGGTATGTCGCCAGGTTGTATGTCGGTCGTGACCGAGAGGCGGGTATTGGCAAAGGTTTGCATTCGTTTTCTTTGATGAGCGCATTATATATTGCGCAGCGGACGATGGAAAACCTAACCGGCAAAGGTGATTTTGAGGGTACTGGACAGTGGTCGTCACCTGAATATGGATTCTTCAACTCAGGGAACCTGTGACTCTCGTAGTATTCGCACCCCTCTTCTCGAGCGCTTTTCGTCCCTCTTCCACTCTCACCACAACACCGATGATGCCAACCGAAATCCAAACGTGGTGGGAAACGAATTAGCGCACAAAGGGGCTGGAGACGCTGCGAAAGGTAATGAGTACAACAGCCCAACGCACCTACTCCCGAAGTACCTCAGAGGTCTCCGACCACAGAGCAGCGCGTCAGCACTAAGGGTCAGAAAACCAAATCAAGAGCTCTATGGAAGGCGTTATGGGAGAAGTCCCGGTATGCACGCACCCGCACCATCGACCCATCAATTCCGTTCGAAAATACATCAAACTCGTCGACGGTTTCCCGAAACGCATCTCCAGTTTATACATTCAGCTTCGCACCCGCCATGTCCCACTCAACCACCACCTCTACCGCATCAACAGGAGCGACACACCTGACTGCCCCATATGCCCTGGAACTAAGGAAACGATCCATCATTACCTCTTTGATTGCCCTCAATACAGACAGGAACGCCATCTCCTCGCCAATGCTCTCCGTCGTGATGCCACCTCGATCTCCTATGTACATCCTCACATCCGAAAAGCCATCCCACACCTCAGCAGGTTTATCAATAACACCGGACCTTTCGGTGAGCTGTAAATACTGTCCAACTATGCCGCTACCGTGTAGAACGCACGCCCAGAGGTTGTCCACGACACCGCCTGCCGTCCCCTCAACATCCGCGACACCTCCTGTTCCTACTACTAGTACAGCCCACCTAGTTTCAACACGTTATAGTGATTTTGCGGCGATTTCCCACTATGTGATTTTCCTCGAGTGCACAGGTGCTAGCCATGAATTGTCTGCTAGAGTGACTGACAATTATCATGTAAGTATGTAGTTACTCGGTGGAACCACTCAAACATCTTCTCCAAGACCACAACCTTAAATCTCGCCAATCACCCGCCAAAGTTCACTGCTTTCTGTACATGGCTAGACTTATTCTTTATATCACCCGTCCTAGTCGAGCCACATTGTCAAGACAGCCGCAAATCAGTCGTACAGGAGTGTCTTGCTGCGACTGACCCGACAATGTCAATCTGTCGTCAATGGAATGGATGGGGATTTTCAAGAACGGTCTGATCTAGCATCGAGCTCTCAGCCAGACAGCTAATGTCTTCGATTATACTCGCGATAAGACTTGACCGACTTTCATTGTGCCCGAACGGTACCGCAGGTCAACCAATGCGGTAAGTGTGTAACAGTGCAGACAAATGATATTTTAAGTGAGTTGCCATTCTAATCCATGCTACGATAAATACTCGTATGCAGCGTTTGAGGTTAATTGGACTGTCAGAATGTAAACGTCTGGTTAAAACGTACCTTCGAGAGGGAGGATGGTGGTAACACCCATGAGTCCTGTCAACTGTTCGATGTGAACAGGGACCTCTTTAGAAAACAAATTAGTCCACCTGGATACAGGCGCTGCTTCATATCCTACAAACATGCTGAAGGAGTTGATGACATTGAGTTCAAAAAAAACAGACTGGATGAGACGTGCAAAGTGGGGAGGGAGCGGAGTACCTTGTCGAATGTGTGCCACAACCAATGATGTAATCCTTACGTATAGGAAGATGGATATAGCACCGGTCGCCAATCTGAGTGCTTGATCTACACAGCAATAAGCTGTGAAGATCACGAATGGGATGAGCCTTAAAAACGCTTGAACGAAGGGGTTCCCAACTTTCTCAACTCCCCCTCTGATCGCCGGTTCGTTTGAACGTGTTGCTCGTAAGGCTACTGCAGATTCCCACAAGGATCTTTTGCGTTCTCGAATACCGGCGCTGCACGTGCATACATTGTACCGAAGCTGTCTTCTAAGTGAGGATTGAATTCCTGCTGTCTCATCAGCAATGTCTTGTGTACTCGTATTGACGACAATGAAACAGACCCGCTGACTCACCACGAACCATACTGTTGCCCGATCATTCAATATCCCAGCAGGCTTCTTGTGCATATATTAGGCTACAATCGGTTGCAGCGGAGCACTAAAATCTTGGGCGCCGACCATGTCTTCCTTGAACACTGAGGTACAAGAGCTGTTGGTTACCATGCCACGTCAGACGTTGCAAGGTCATAGCAGATGGGTGAACGGTGCTGTGCACCTGCCTGGCGGACAACGGATCATCACATGTTCAGTGGACAGCTCACTCCGACTATGGGATCTAGAGAGCGACGCACAAATAGGAGAGAACTGGCGAGATGAGAATGACACAGGAGTGTGGTCCATGGCATTGTCTCCAAATGGCAAGACTGTTGCCAGCGGAAGTGAAGACGGGAAAGTGAAGTTATGGAAGGTCGAGACGGGAGAGGTTATTGCCAAATGGTCAGTGCACACCCATATCGTGTGTGCATTGTGCTGGAGTGCAGATGGTAACAAAGTGCTGAGTGGATCCTGGGATGGGACGGCAAGAGTCTGGGATGTCGAGGACAGGAAAACTGTCCTGACAATTGAACCTAGAGACGGGTGGGTGAACGCGGTAATATACTCGCCCGATGCAACGAAAATTGCAACCGGTGGAGACATGTATGCAGCCAACATCTGGGATGCCAAGACGGGCGATCAGCTTCAAACGCTCAAACACGGCATGAATGGAGTTTGGAGCTTGGCATGGATGTTGGATGGAAAGAAACTTATCACCGGTTCATCCGACCTCATTAGGATATTCGACACAGCCACTTGGCAGGAGATTGCTGTCCTTAAGGGTCACACACAAGTTGTGAGCGCCATCTCATTGTCCTTCAATGGCCGTTTCCTTGCAAGTGTATCATGGGATAAAACAGCACGTCTATGGAATCTGGACACCAACCTCCAAATCGGACCACCTCTCCAGCACGAACAGCATTTACATTGTGCAGCCCTTTCGACTGATGGCAAGCTGCTAGTCACTGGTTCCGAAAACAAAAATGTGTACACATGGGACATACATGCCATCCTCGAAGAAGCTGGCCTTGAAGACCTCCTCCCTTTATCTGATTTAGTAAAGCTCTTGGTTCTTCTGTGAAAAACTACGCTGATCTCCCCCTCACAGGTTGCAGCTCTGGATGTACGCGATTCGTTTCTCGATGTTCCCGATAGTTGTAACCTTGATATTTTATTTAGGCGGATGCTACGCGGGCCGAAGATGATGAACTTTGGTCGGGCTTTTTCAACAACATGACAGATAGTGCTTACGTGCGTCATTTGCATTTCTAATTGGTTGCTGTTCTGATTTCTTGATCTCAGTTCCCCAGAACGTACGGTAAATATCGCCGTCCCTCTTCCCGCCGTCTCGCACCCCCTTTGGGGGGTCCGAGAGCGCTCTTCGGTCGCATGCTCGCGCCTTTTCGCCGCTCTCACTCCAACACTAATAAGTCAACTGAACTCCACCAACGCCTGAGGCGGCCCATCTTTTCTCGTGGTTCTCATGTCGTCGAAGTTGCTGCAGTAAAGGACAGAGAAGTATGTCCTTCTCCAGTATATCGATTTCTAATGTCTGATAATTTTTGTGCAGGTTATATTTACTGCTCCACCGCCGCCAGAAAAAACACAGCAGCAAACCCAAACACACGCCCAGGGGTCATCCACAACCCAGCCTGTTCCAGGTGCTAATCCTACTACACCACGCCCAGGATATGCACATTCACTACCCGTTCGATTGTTGGCTCATCTCATGCTTTTTCTCTGCTGCGCATCTCAACACGCCAATGGAAATGCACAATCAACGCAGCAGCAGCAAGGTCAATCACAGGGTCATGCCCAGGCCGAGATATCGTCATCTCAGAATCGGCCTCCTGCTGCTCCGACATCTATGATACCTCCTGCTCCTGCGACCAGTCCTACCGCACCAAGTGCAGCAAGCGCGTAGCCTCGACTTCTTCCACTGCGGGCTCGCTTCGTGTTGTTTCTTTGTTTGGCATTCACATGCCGATGGTCATTAATACAGGTACACAACTATTTCACATTTCATTCCAGTTTTTCTGTACTCATATCATTTCGCAACTACGTATATCAATCTTCTTTCCTCGTCATGAGACTCGTGCAGTGATCAATACCAACCGTTGCCAGAGAAACATTCCAAGCTCGGGACCTGGCGCAGATGATGGTTTGTTTTTCTACACAACCCGTTCTGCGTCCAGATCTGTGTTAATTATCCACGTGTATCGTCGAACGATATGCTTGCGAGAATCGCATCATTATGCCTATTCAAGATGTTTTGGCCTGATGAATGCCGTATTGAAGGAGCTGTCCCCTCCGTCTGGACGTTGACATACCCTAACAGATCTCATTCTTCTTGTACTATAGTAGACTCGTGACCAGCCCGACTCGAGTAGATGTTCGACTGACGTACCAGATATATATATATAGGTGTGTGCAGCTACATAGTCCATCCAACCACTTATTCGAGCGTGAGTGCCAACTCTCTCGAACCTCAAGTAGTGGGATGAACAAAATAACCATCAAGAAATGATTTGATAACTTGAAGGTACATGTTACGGACTCAAAAACACAGTACAAGCGTCTAGCAAAATAACAACAGTCTAACCGATTCGATACACAAATGAATACTGCCCAGCATTATACATCCTATCGTCTGTCTTCTAATTGTACACGGATTCTTCTCACCGTGACAAGGAGGAAATGTATGCAACTTCGATGGGCGGCGGAACCTTAATATCTTGGTGGTCGTACTCATATGCGCCGTTTGTGTGGTTGGCTTGACTCTGTTTCTGCGCAACGAGCGCACAGAGGGCAGCTGGGACACATTCAGAATGGAGACCAAAGAGCTGAATTGGTTAGACCTACCACCCGCACCGCTCCCATCCTTGGCCATACCAAGATCGACACGGCTTTCCACCTCGGGACCAACAAGCGCTCGTAACGACGCTCGCAGCTTGGTTTGGAAATTAGGATAGAACTCGACCAAACTTATCACTTCCTGGTTAGCAAAAACTGAATAGAAAAGGCACCACTCCTACCTTCCATCTACCCCGACACCGATCCTTTTGCCTTCATCCTTCAGCCCGACAGAACTTTGCTCCCCGCGGTCCCACAACCGTGCACGCCCAGTATGAACCAGTATAGCAGCTACAGCCGTTGCGCTCATGCGCGCAGCCCTCGATGCTATCAGATTGCACACTTGTCTGAGGATGTCCGCATCCGCGAGGGAAATGTCAGGCGGGGACAACTCTAGTCGGTGCGCCAGTATTCCTTGTATCCGCCGTAACTTTTCCGCCTTTTGAGCTTCTGGGGAACCTTGTTCTGGTGGAGAGAACCGCCCAAGACATTCCCATGCCTCTTCGATCTCGCTGAGAACTGCAGTGTCCAGTCCCCATTGCTTATTCAGTAGAACCGAGGATCGACCTCCGAAGAGGAGGGGTTGCGGAGCGGCATCAATCAAACTAAGAATCACATTTCGGGTGATCTCCCCCAGATACATTCCCGAAATGAATTTCTCGAAGGCCTGGAAACGTGGGTTAATAGATTCGCGGTCCAGCTTATTGTCATATGGAGTCGTTGGCAAGGCACTTCGCTGCAGTTCGCCATCAGTAATCAAAGTGATGGGATAAAAGAAGTTAATTCACAGAGTTGTTGAAAGCGCCCCACTCGGTGTTCACGATCATTTCACCACCTGCGGCAACTGTAGGGTTCTGGCTTAATTTCGTGATCTTGGCAACATCTTCGACATAAGCCCCATTAGTTCCTGTTCCAAAAATAGCACCTAGAATGCATCCGCCAGACGTATATGCCCGCGAAAGAAGAGCTCCAACGGTCTGTGATGGAGAGTCTCTCATCAGTACATACGGTCACGTGCAAAATTAAGATCTGCAGATGAAGGAATATTGACTGACGTCGTTGACGAGAGCTACACACTTGACATGGATGTGTTTCCGGTCAAACGCGTCTTGAAGAAGTTTTACGACGTCCTTTCCAATGGCATTTTTTGCAGCGAAACCTTTGGTCCAGGTAAGGAGAACGCCTGAATCGAGGGCGGATTGTTCCACAGGGAATGAGAAGGTGAGAGCCAGGGGAACATATGGACTGTCCTCGTCAGCGTGAGATACGTGAGAGTCGTAGTCTTGGGAGGGGGTGTCCGTGAGGAAGGCATCCACGGAGTCGGCAAGGTAGTCTGAGAAAATATTAAACGACAATGGCGAGGGAAAGAACAAAGGTCGCACCGAAAAGAGTGGTCACCTCACCGGTCTTGAGGGCCTCAGAGACCTTGTATTTTTGCTGCCGGAGGGAGAAGGTCTTGTCTCCGAGCAGAGTGACCTCGCAAACGCGACTGACAATCCATAAGGCAAATGAAGAGATGGTAGAATTTTGTACTCACAGGTTTGTCCCACCAAGATCGAGGGCGAGGAATGTTCTAGGATACTCAGTCAGGTGCAACAATATGTGGGGTAATCCACATACCCCGTTTCGGAGCCATCTGGCACACCATTTACGAAGGTCGGACTATCTGACAATTAGATCAGGAACAAGACACAACTTGGAAGCAGGGAAACGTGCATCATCGCCATGGGACGACCATAACTGGATAAACCATCTGAAATTTCTGATAGAAATGTTTGAGTGATCTTGAAGAGACGCTGATCATCGATAGTGAATTGGTTGTAGAGCGACTCAAGGATATCCTCCTTTGCGCTGCCATGAAGCGCGGTGGTGTGTGACATGGCGGGACAGGAGAGAAACGGACTGGTTAGCGCGAGACAGTGTGAGTAGTCCAAGATAAGCTCATAAACCCCCTTTAGTAAGAATACGCTATTGGACACTCAGGCTAACTCTTACAGTCTCCACCAATCCTCGTTCAAATATCAATCGTCTACTGCACAATCCGCGGTGAACCGAGGTTCTCGGTTTCCAAGTCTCATCCACTTGAACATAGTTTGTAAGGCGTCTATTAGACCAGCTTTCGGAACTAGTTCGGTCGCACGAGGGTGACGAGCGTTTATCGATGGGATATCATCGGCCCGTGTCAGTCGCACATCACCGAGCATAGCTCCAGCTCATATCAAGCTCATCTGCCTCACTTTCTGAGAGGTTTCGACTGAAAAAGATTATCTCCGTGTGATGCCACCATTACGTAGGTCAGAGAACATAATAAATATACTGGTATCCTTTTCTGGATAAGTTCGCTTTGTTAGGCGAGACTATGTGCGTGTCGTGGTCAAGTCCATTTACATATCACGCCCATGGCTATCGACGGTTTGATTATCTTAGATCCAACGGGGTATGCTTCATCATCTTTGCTCATTAGTTACCATAATCACAAGATTTCGCATACAGACGTCCCATCATCCAATCCAGTTACACCACTTATCCCGCAGCGTACCCCTTACTGCACATCGAAGCGTTAAACAACGCGCTAGCAAAGGCTCCCCGCGAGGGTAGTGTAGACCCCGTTATCTACGTTGGAGAGTTATCGTGTTCGAGTGCATGCTGCCATGTCGAGGTTGGCGGGATGAGATTCCTTGCGACCATCAGTGGAGACGGTGAGTGGTCAGCGGCTCGGTCATGAACGGCGCGTTCGGGCTTTTCTCGGGCAGCAACTAACAATACTCTATCAGTGGATCCTCTCATTGCATTCGCCTTTCTCGACGCCTTCACTGAAATACTCCAAGACTATTTTGGCGTAGTCAGCGTTGCAACTCTCAAGGATAACTTTGACATCGTATATCAGGTTCGTGGACGTGTTCTTACCCTTGATGTTTACTCGTATCGAATACGTGTCTACTCACAGCTTCTCGAGGAAACCCTTGATTCGTCTGGCCATCCACTGACAACCTCACCGAACTTGTTGAGCGATATAGTACTCTCGCCTTCCTTAATCTCGAAGCTTCTTGCCTCGGTATCAGCTACTCCCGGAGTTCCAAGCGTGAGACAAGGAGGCTAGTCATCCATTTCATTTGCAGTTGAAACTGCCTTAACATCCTCTCGATAATACAGGTTCTTTCGGTTCAAATGGTGCCAGTGGAGCTTTTACATCGCCGATACCATGGCGCAAAGCTGGGGTTCGGCACAACCACAACGAGATCCTTTTTGATGTCGTTGAAGAAATGCGAGGCATCGTCGGCAAGTACGCTCGAGGTTTATATCAGCCCGTCTTTGCTGTTGAAACCATTCAAATACAGGAATGGCACGACGTTAGCGAGCAACGTTTTCGGCAAAATCGAGAGCAACTCAAAACTTTCCGGGACACCCGACTTGACGTTGACATTCACGAATCCTAATGTGATGGCGGACTGCGCATTTCATCCATGTGTACGGTGAGTGGTCTTGTGAATCTATCATCCTCGCACTGAACAGTAATTCTTAACTCGACTTTAGGTTACAAAAATGGACCCGCGACAATGCCTTATCTTTTGTACCTCCTGAGGGGCGATTCATTCTCGCAGACTATCAGTATAGACCACCACAAAGTGCGGTTGTCAGCAATGTGCCCATACCACTGTCTCTCAAAGCGAATATGGACATGGGGGAGTTTGGCGGTAAAATTGATTGCTGATGTTTTGAGTCGTAACTGACACTGCGCAGGAACATTCGCACTCACGTTGACCTCCCGTTTGATTAAAGTGATGGAGAATCTAGAACTGAAATTCTATCTCGGAGAAGATGCGACTAGTGCGCAGTGTACACTGTCAAGTGCGGGTTCTAGCGTAGGATCTGTGGGAAGCGCAGATGGATCATGGTCATTTAATTCGAGAACAAAGGTACGCTTTGCCGGTGGTTCGTGCTGTCCAAAAAATCACTCCCTTCAGACGCTCCAATGGGAGATTCTTAATATGCGGTCTTCGGGGAGCTGGATTCTTCGAGGTTCATGGACGTCAAAGTAAGGAGCTTTGAAATAACTTTCATGAATGTGTGATGTTTATAGTTGCCCAGAATCAAGGCCCCGCGTCCAGCACACGCGTTCCAAATACGTTTCGAGATACCTTCCTACAGCTTTTCTTCGCTCAAGGTCGATCAGTTACGGCTCTCAAGCGAGACGTACAAGATGTACAAGGGAGTGCGGATGCGCAGTAAAGGGTCGATCGAGTGGAGATGGTAGCCAGCTTAGGACCCTGACTAATTTGTATATTCCAAGAGTTGCACCGTGCAGACTTAGTCCTCTGAGAGCTGGCACAATTACTTTTGTGATGAGTTGCTTTGTTCACAGTAGTAAGTTCTCGGACACTTGCATATGTACATCTCCAGCATTGCAATGATAATATTGGGGCGGACACAGGGCTCGGACACTTTCTCGGGAGTAATTATGCTCGGTAAGCCAATCTACTTTCATTGTGAGAGCTGCCTCATCGTCATGGCACAGTGCCGGATCGTATTCGATTCGTCAACTGAAACAAGATGGCCAGCCCATAAAATGAGAAGCGATATACCAGCGACATATTTCCGAAATTGATTGCTGCCGCGTACAAGAGTTCGGCGCGCAGCCGTATACCTCCTTCAAATCAGCCAAATGGATCGTGATCATGATAAGTCTCCCATGTCGGACCCTGAAATAAGGAAAAGCAGTCGTTCCTTCTTGTTCAGCATAACCCAAACTCTGACATTCTGTCATAAAGATCTGGGACGATTTGGTGAATTTTGTGATTTCTTGTCCTGATACCCTTTAACCGGTCCCGGTTTGATTTTGATCTCAATGAGGAACAGGTATTGACATGATGTAAAAGAGAACAGTGAGCAGAAAAAGCAGGCGAAGATGTCATTGGACACATGCATCCTCCCCGGTTTCCGAACGAGACTCAGTCACTCCAAGTTGTTCCCGAAGATCGTTATGTGCCTCCTGCAACAAGATTTGACAAGCGGACAATTGGTGATGTATCCGAAGAAGACTCTGACTCAGACGAGTGGAGCGAAAATGGTTCAGAGAAAAACTTTGATGAAAATGTATATGAACTCTGGTACATGGTGTTACAACGTAGTCTAGATGGTAGTTATTAATTCCACAGGCTTCTTTAGCCACGTTTCGAAGACATTCTCTTGTGCGACGACATCAGCACGAGTATGATATGAAGCAACAGGCGTAAGTAAAGCCTGTGCAAGTACCCAGTTGTCCAGGTGTGATCGTGAGGGTCGTACGCTGGATTCATGACGTAGCATGAGCAAAAAGTGGCTCTTGAGCGCGCAGCATGTAAACGCATCTACTTTGAGCCACTGGTCGAGGCGGCCTCTGGGCTTACGGCGGAGCTTGCCATTCTTATACCGAAGACAGACCCAGACAAAAACCCAGATGAATGATTCAGCATCGTGCCGGTACACGTGCTCGACTGCGTCGTCGATGGCCGATAGTTTGAGCAGGTCGATCGCCATGAAAGGTACCATTCCTGTGCGCTCATTGCCTCTGGCACAGTCATCTTGAATGGATGATAAATCATAGTCGTTGAGAACGCCTATTACACGACCGCACGAGAGCCGATAGTACATGAGATTACTGGGGCTGATATCACGGTGATAGACACCAGCTTCCCAGAGTGTACGATGACCTAGAGTCACCGTTAATGGACAATTGCTAGAACCAAATCAACGAACACCTACAATTAATGATTTGCCACCATGCATCGCGAAACTCGGGCCCACTCAGGTCTGTGATCGGCTGAAGCTTCCTGAATACGATGATGTAAAAGACCCAGCTGCCCTGCGTATTGTGATTCATTCCTAATGCCTTTCTGATGTGGGCCGTGGATGTCTCATCGAACCTATGGAACCAGACTATGTCTGGGACATGGCCCTTCACCCGCGAGTCACGTTCAGCGATCGCCTGCACTTTCGCGAGTATCTCAGGCTCGCTCAAGCGTGCCTCTTCTGGCCAAAAGAGTTTGGCGACCATTTTGGTCATTGTGTTGTGAGGAGGACCAGGTGGGTGTGTATCAGGAGGAGGATCAACGCCGGATGGAGTAGGGTCGATGGCAAATGGTAGGCCTACTCATTGATTTTAGGGGATGCTGATGTTCCCGGGTTCAAACCGTTCCAAAACGTTATGAAGGAAGAGAAGGATAACACAGAAAGAACGTTGCGGAAGCTGTTACAACACCGCGCTGTCTTGTACTAGTCTACTAGACTATAATTTCCCTGCCATGATTACGTAGGGTGTGTGTTACACTCGTAAACAAGTCGACATCGAATATTGGTTGCTACCTCTAATATTCTCGTCGTCACATTTTCTCCTTACTCATCTTTATTTTCCTTCTATCCAGTTCCATAGTTTTCTATACCCTACAGTACTTAAACTCGCGTAGAACTACTGTTAGGGTAGTTGATCCTTTCCCCAAAGCAACAAGCTTAGTTCTAACAGTTCTCTCTGCTGGACTCTAAGTTGCTTTATAAGTCAACTTCTCGTGTGAACGTCTTTCTAGACATCACATATTTTGAACTTCGAATACTAAGCCCCCTTCCCCTTCCGCCCAACTACGGTCGCTGCACAGAGGACTGATCACCCTCCAACGCTCCGACTCTCCTATTCCTCGCTAACACCTTCAAGATATCTCAGAAAAACTTCGAACTCGAGTTAAAAATGTCTGCAAGCGCACCAGACAACTTATCCCCTCTGACCTCGCTTCCAACGAGTGAAGAGAGTGTGGATGCCGGCGCTCTCGAACTGGGTGTCGAGAGCGCCTGGAACCTGGACGATGTATCTGTCTCCGGGTTAGAGAGGAGTGACAGCGTTCGCGCTGAGCCTCCCTCCGGCGAACCAACAAGTCAGACTGGGTCTGACCTTGCTGGCGCTGTCATTGATGGCAGGACACCTAGTGTCCCCACTGCCCTAAGTACCCCATTATTGGATAACGGCGGGAACGAACTAAAAGACTCACCAGAAGATGGTGATGGACTAGGCTCAGTCGCGATGAGCATCAGCCTGCCCTTGGCTCAACACAGTGAGCAGGAGCGCAGGTACCCTCAGATAGGACTACTAGATAGCCTTAGGTACCAGTACAGACGTCACGACGAGCTAGATAGTGACAGATTGAATGAAATGCCCTCGTGGGCTGATCTCCCCATCAATGATGATCTTGGAGATGTTCCTGACCTCAAGAACAACTGGCAGGACAAGACCATAGGGACAGACGCGCCAAGCCCGCGCATCCCTGCTCAACTAAAAGGAAAATCAGCCGTAAGGCCCTCCACGTTATACGACAACGAGGGAGGACCGACTGATGACCTAGATGAGATAGACGCTCTCAAAGAGCATATCCGTGACCTCGAAAGGCTCGTGTGCCTAAGTCAGTTACGTGAAAACAAAGCTAATCAGAAAGTAAAAGAGGCTCACCGCGCCCCAAAAGTCAGTATCCAGGGTGAAGACAATTCCCAAAAGGCAACCGAGGCCAAGTCAGCCCCAAAGACCGTCAAAATCAAGAGTGAGCAGACCAACAACCTCCGCTACCAATGCGCATCGTCGCTTTTACCTACTGAAAGCTCCGTCAAACGAGCTATGACCGGGGCGTCCAAACAAGGTCATGATCCTGGTGACCCCGAGCCTCCTTCATCGGACGACGACGGCGAACGATCGTCAACTGAGAGTGACCTTGATCAGCCATCTAAGACAGCGTCAACGAAGAAAAGGCATACCTTGAAAGAGGACTCATCCGATAACGAGTTTGAGGCAGACTTCCTGGCCCAAGAGCCAGAATCGGACCATGAGAGCGATTCGCCTGATACTAAGCAATTTAAACGTGTAGCACGACGGAAGTATCGGTCAAAACTTACCTTGCTCAAGTACCAGCAAGGATTCATTAAAAACGAACCCCCGTTCACCTATAATGGGGAAGCTAACATCATAACGTTCAAGAAGTGGGTCAGAGAAACCAGAGACTGGAAAAAGCGTGCCAGACTTACTACAGGTCAAACCCTCAATCTCCTTGGGAAGTACCTGGGAGGACAAGCATACCGTTTCTATGAGCGCGACGTTCTGGACCTCGAAAAGAAATACTCACTGACCAAATTCTTCGAAGAATTATTCGACTACGTATTTCCGTCTGACTTCAGGATGCAACAACGTCAGAGATTTTTCGAATGTAAGCAGGACGTTAAGCATACCGTGAAGGACTATCTTAGACGACTCCGAGACCTCGCGGACACTGCTGGTGACATTCGCGAGCGTGACATCGTACTCCAATTCTGGGTACATTGTAAGCCATATCTCAGAGCAGCCTTGGTAGACAAGGGATATGAACCTAATTCGATAGACCTTGAAACACTGGAGGAGAGAGCGATACGGACGGAACGAGCCTTCCTGGCCAACTCGCACAATCCTAATGCTCTTCTGGCCCTGAACCCAACAGCAGTAGCTAGCATTGTCAGTCGGAACCAACGGACTGATAACCACGACCGGCGTGAGCACAAATGTCCTAACTGACATGACAGAACCCACTCACTCTCAGCCAATGCTGTCCAGGCCGCTGGTGATAGGCCACCCAGGAGTAAGAACGAGCACCCAAGAGGTCAAAGGCCTAGGGATAACCGTAGTCAGCCAAAAAAGAGCTCAGATGCTATTAAACGCTTACGTGACAATGATCAGTGCTTTGAGTGCGAGCAGAAGGGCCACCTTGCTAAGGATTGCCCAAAGAGACACAAGCTTCCATATAGGCCGGGACCCAGAACAACAAGCCTGCGAGCCAATGCTGTTGGAATCTCTGATGCCGATATCAGAGCCGTTGCGATAGAGGAGGGCGTGGCCCAAGGCCTATATGGTATGGCCGTTGGCGTAGGAGAAGACTTTGGTCCTACCGGTGCTGAACGCCTCGCCGTAATCGCAAATGTGCTAGCTACACTAAGGTCAGCCGTGCCCCTACCAACCGACGAACTCCATGACGCGATCTATGACACCTATGGAAAAGACCGGTTCAGTCTATCCATTCATGGTGGTGCGGACACCTACCTCCTCAGCGACAAACACAACTACGACGATTACATCGTCTACTATGATCAGTTGCGCGATCCCTCCTTTGATATAGTAGCATGGTTAGTTAGTCTGAAGATTCACAATTACTCCGACTTAATACGCACCAAGTCCAGCTTTCAGCCAACCTGGGGAGGTACCGCTAGTGGAACACCCCAGCACGGATATGAAACGGACGAACCTCCGGGGCTTATAAGTTGTGAATCCTCTGATGAAGAGTATGACAGACTCACTAGTCCCGAAGAGGAGATCGAGGATATCACATCCGAGAATCCCTGTGACACCACGGATAAGCTATTCTGCGGTGGTACATCAACGAACCTACCTGATATCAGATCCCTACAACGGCAATCTGCAAGGCCGAAAGGTTCTTCTAGGATATTGCCGAGAGCGCTCGTGGTGATGGTCCAGATTGAGGGTCGTCCATGCAGGGCACTGCTGGACTCCGGATCACTAACGGACTTCGTGTCAAGTACGTTAGTAGACCAACTAAAACTGAAATATGACTTACTGGAGAAGCCCATACCCCTTCAGTTGGCTGTGTCCGGCTCTCGAAGTGTAGTCAAAGCTAACACTACAGTGAACCTCATATACCAAGACGTCGCTGGACCCCGCACCTTTGATATTGCCAATCTTGAGGCATATGACGTTATCCTAGGGATGCCCTTCCTGTTCCAGCATCAAGTACTGCTGGGATTCAACCCGCCGGAAATCAAGATAAGGAGTTTAGACCCCTTACCTATCCGCGGTGCACAGACACAAGTCCTCGAACTCAAAGGTTCCAGCCCAGATATGGACCTAATTGAATCGTACCGTAAGGAGCTCTTTGAGTATGCGAAGGACATTTGTAAGGACGCTATCGACACACCTTTGCCTCCCCTGCGTGCAATCAACCATGTCATCCCGCTGATTCACGATGACCAGGTGTACGCTTGGCGACAGTCCAGATGCCCTGAGGCCCTGCGTCCAATATGGAGGGCGAAGCGAGATGACTATGTACGAACGGGCAGGTGGGAGTTCTTCAGTGGGACGAACGCTGTCCCCATGATCATGATGAAAAAGACCATGAAAGACGGGTCTTTGAAGCTGTGCACTGTCCTAGACACGCGTCAGCGAAACAAGAATACTCGGAAGCTAGCGTCCCCGTTACCCGATATTGACACTATCCTTCGCAACGTGTCGTCGCACCCCTATCGCTCACTACTGGATGGCAAAGATGCCTATTGTTACAGTGACTACGTGAGCCCCCAGCTACACGACCTGCCCTCTGCCACCTCGCACGGCAACGACACGATACGATACCCGGGCCCTTGGGCCTTGATGATAGATAATGAACAGATGACGAATAGAAGAGAAGTCCGGAAGATGCCGGATTAGGTAAGCGATCTGGATCGCTTACATGATATGACGACATAGGTCTAGAAGACCTATATATGTTATCAAGATAGAAGGCAAGCCTCGTGTTGCCTCATGTACTGATAGAAGGACGCCTCGCGGTCCTTATCATAGATAGAAGCCTGCCTCATGCATGGTATCTCTGACTCGATAGATAAGCACTTAGAACCCAGCTTCAGGCTGAGCTTAGATACGATAGAGTAGCCTTATATAAGGTCGACGGATTAAAGTAGATGTTCCTTACTTTAATCCTACTGGGTTTACCATTGAAACCTTTGTCCTGCTAAAGCTACCTGCTCGACATCAGATCCGTACCTTCAGAAGGACTTGAGACCCCTTCTGCCTGTAACTCGCTATCATCGTTCACCTCCGTGAACGTACGCAACTCCTGCTCTTCTGTAGGAGCCGACCTCGGACTCTCAGCACGAGATATCACTGTTGTGATCGTCGCTGTTAGATCATCCCAGTCCGCACGCGACACACGTCGTAACAAAGGATTAAAGTCCCTTTACTGTACGCCTCCATCACAGGCTACAAGATAACTGATCGCACTTGCTGTCAACGTTACCGACACTCGTAGAACCCCGAACCTAGATCCCGAAAGGATTTTCATATCCCTGATTTAGAACCCTGATCGTACCGGCCTGACCAGTCGCAAGAATATAAGAACCGCCGTCACTGTGGAAAGCTCCAAGAAAAGGATACCACGAAGAATTGTAGAACCCATCTCCAATATGGCAACTACCAGAAACACCTTCGCCGCCTCGCATCTGACCGGGAA